TTTTCTAGGCCAGTAGTGGCTGTCTCCTAAGGCGAAAACAGAGTAGTGGATGGAGGAGAGATCGAGATCTCCAGAGTTTTTAATGACCTCCCACAGCGAACGGCCATTCTGGGGAAATTCACCCTGACCGGCTGTGCTGGTGATGAACACCACATTTTCTTCAGTGGCGAGATCCTCAACAGGGTAATCATCCATGGCCATAACCATAGTTTTCAGACGACGGGCCTTTCCACGATTACCCAACCTCTTTGCTAGGTTCTCGCTATTGCCGTTGTCAGATGCGAACAAGATAGTGAGAGGTGCACCAAAGAGACCCTCAAGGAGCTTGTTGTACGAATCCTTGGCTGCACGCTTTTGCAGTGCCCGAACCTCCGTCCCATATGACTCCGACAAGTTAGCCGTGAACTGAGGCTGTCGCCTCATGAGCTGGGTGAGGTGATTGTCGCGTCGCAGGAACTCTTCCAATTCTCTCTTGATCCTCTCTGAGTCGAGAGAAAAATTGGGTTCACCCTTCTCAGCATTATTCGGATTCCATCTATAAAGAGGCCAGTACCCCAAATCGACAGCCTTCTTAGTCTCTTGGAGAATGGCAAGGGGTGATTCGCCGTCCTTGTTGTAAGGCAGATAGGCGAGAACAACAGATGGTCCATCGAATTGATCCGCCTCTGCCATTGCCTGCAGAACCTGGGTATATGAGCTGTACACAGCGACGGATGCGACGTAGGCATTGCCAAAGTTCATGGCATAAAGGCTAATATCCTTCTTTCTCCGTGTTGCATCAGCAGCAATGCGCTCAGAGTAAGGTTGCGAGTCGATAATCAGCATTTTAACATTAACACCTGATGCGAGGACATGGTGAACACCGGAATTTCCCAGATCGTAAGCCCATTCATCGGACCCAATAAGCCACTGCGACTCCTTCGTGAAGAAATGTTTTGATTGGAGCAGCTTCTTTGCCAGGGATGATCCATCACCAGTTAGTCGTGAGATGACATCAGCGGAAAGGCTGTTTGCCTTGACCGGATCTGAGGCATTCAGCGCCCATCGCGAAAGCCAATTCTTGGGAATATCAGTTGTAAACTCGTTTGATTTGACAGCTTCAGTAACCTCACGAACAAAACGCTCGCGGCCTTCGATGCGAGCAATTAGTGAACCGAAACCGTACTCGGGGCTTGATGCAATTGTGCTAGAGATACTCCCATTCTGTGCGCCAAGCTGATTGGCAACATAAAGGCGAGTGCTAAATAACTGGTTCAAAATTTTCATGTATGCATTTTCAGCATCTGGCTGCTTCGGGGCAATAGTAGGCGAAAGTTCCTCTGGCATCTTCTCGCTACCAATTTGAAGATTCTGAATTGGTGAATCGGCTGAAAGGTTCTGCAAGACACCGCGGAGCGCTTGGCGGGATGTCGAAGGTTCTACATACTCCAGTCTGTAACCGACCAGTTGGGGCATTTGTTCCCCATCAGTCGGTTGGGATAAGCTAGACAACAAGTCTAGGAATGTGGGTCCCCATCGCGTAGTCTTCCGCACCTGCTCCAGAACCGCAATGCGCTTAAGAGACTTAGGGATGGCTTGCGATATCTGGCGTCCGGCCCAAGGACGGTACAGACGAGCGGTAATAATTCCAACATTGGCAAAATCGGCCGCACTGCTAGGGTTCTCAAGGACATCAACGAAAACACCCGTAGAGCCGAAAATAAAGATAGCAGACTTTGCGTTTTCCGGTCCAGTATATTCAATGGGGTGGTAGTTACGTCCACCTTTCTTCGCCAGAGCATCCCAGATTCTAGTGGTGATGTGGAAGATATCCACGGCTTCCAAGGGTCGAACAGTTACTGGATCAACCGTGGTAGCTGACGAGCTCTCTGGTGCACCATCAGAGCCGCTATCACTATGAGAGGAGACGACAGAGGAAGTCTGGTTGGAGGAAGTTTTCGATGGGAGTGAGATCTGGGAGGCAGATAATGGGGGATGGCCATCACTGCCATTTGCCACATCTTCCTCCACGACTGTAGTGATACGGCCTGAGTTTGCATAGAGTGTATGCGGGGCATCAGAAGGCACTTGCGCCAGCTGAACATCGTTCAAGTTTAAAATATTTTTCACTAATTCTGGATCCTCCGTAGCAATTCGGTTATCATCCCGGGAATTGGCTGCGTCAAAGAAATGGATGACACCTGTTCTTGACTTTGCCGCAAGGGCATGGGCAGTCAGCGCAATATCCTGTGCTTCTTGTAGCGTTTCCGAATGCAAGAATGAGAATCCGCATTGGCGGATGGAACTGATAGCTGAATAATCAGCAAAGGAGGCGGGTTCCAGAGAAACATGAATGACAATGGGGTAGTTTGCCAGTCTATATAGATATGGTATAGATGAAAGAAGAACGGAGGAAGAAGTAGTTATGGCAACTCGGTGGCCTGATTTCAGAGGTTGAAAAGCGGAGAGCAGAGGGTCCTCATTCTGGCGGAGGGTGCGGACCTGAAATCGGAATAGTCAGATTTAATGTCTTGAAAGACATTTTTTGGATTTTTTTTTTTTTGAAACAAAAAGCCAATTCTAGGATACCCATACCTCCGGGACGCTCTGCGAGACTATTCCTTGCACTTTGCTGTCGGAGAGGAGGCGGAGTTGCTTGGAGAAGAGCGAGTTGGTTTGCAGAGATGGCTGAACTGACAATACGAGTTCGCTTGAGAGGTATGCGATCCTGGCCACTGTGCAAATTGAAACGATAATTTAGCATAAAAACCTCACAAATGAACAACAAACGGTAAAGCACCTTATTTCTATATATATATAAAAGGATGAGTGTTAACATACCTGCCTCTCCTGCTGTTGATACCGAACCCATGGCGGCGGAATTGCGGGGGAGGTTGATATATAACCAACTAGATATATATCAGAAAAGAAAGGCGTGACACAACATCAACACCCCACAGCCGCAGTCAACCCGATCGCAGGGATATAGCAGGCGGGATGGAAATGAAGAAGAGAACGAACATGAATATAAAGAGAAAAGAAAAAAAGATATCGTTGGAAGATTTTTTATTTTATCTCATTTATTTATTTATTTTTGCCCGCTTACGGCATCTGGCCCTTGCTCAGTACGATGCTTGATTCGAGCCAGTTGTGATTGGTCCCTGATCACGACATCAGCGCAAACACAGCAAACACCGCAGAATACGTGCGCCGACTTGCCAAGCTCTGCGCGGCCGAGCTTGGCTGGAGACGCCTGCGATGTGCCCCGCTACAGCGGATTTGCAGGGAAATTGCAGGTTTTTGGCAGGGTATCACATGTACCTGGTACCTGCTGCGAGATGTTTGGCCTTGCCCTAACTATTCCCCGTAAAATTCTGGGGCGAGGGCTTTAAGCGAACGGCTGTTAGTGTGCTGCGTTTGCTGACTCGGATCGATCTCCATCATTAACGGCAATGGTCGGTAAGTGTGTCTGCTTGAGCTGACACCATCTGCCAGTGGGATGACGAGTGCGGAGTCCAAAGGTGTAAACGTCAAAATAGTGTAACTGAATGAAATGGTCGAGAGTCAGCCGTTGTGCCCGTATTATCATCGCACAGTTGTCTCGACCCGCGTTTACTTCCTCGCGGGTCAACATAATCCTCCTTCTGGGGAGATGGGAGCCCTGGAGCCGACGCTCATGCGGGCGTTATCTTTTCCTTTCACATAATCCAATCGTCCACGCCAAGAGGAACGAAGAGACAAAAGCAGTGTCAACAAAAAGTTCATTATCTGCAGTCTTCTATCCCCCATAACTTGAAGCCGTAAAAACAAAAGGCAATGAAGCAAATAAATGTATCTATCACCCGCCGGAAAAGGGGGGGAGGGGGGAGGGGGAGCAAAACGGAGACAGTAAAATCAGATAGGGAAAAAAAAGGCATTTATCGACAAGAGCAAGGGCGGAACATAGGAAAGAGAAGTGACTAGTTAGGTACAGTCAAAGAAATAGATAAAAATACAGGGGACCAAATTCGTTCAACCATGTATATATACCACAGCTCCCAACAAGAGGAAATGCTCATCCAAAACGGGAAACGCAAGGGGCAAACTTATCTGCTGCTCATAAACACGGGAAGAAAAACAAGAAAGGGAAAAGCCAAAAGACAACTCCACCCAACCAGCCCACCCGTACATTCTTATATAACATGTACATCCATCTCCTCAACCAGCATTAGCAACGAGAAGAAGAAATCTCAACTAAACGAAACAAAGCTCCCGGTCCCATGTGGGTAACGTCCGGGTTCAGTGAATAGCAACGGGTAAGGAAAATATTGTAAGATGGGAAACAGGGTCGGGAAAGAAACGGCACAATCACAGATGGTAAAGAGACGAAGAAGAAGAAGCAAGAAACTGTAATTAGCGTGAGATGGTGAGCGCCAATCAAATGTAGTGCCATATTCGTGGACGAGAAGAAAGGTGGAAAGTGGTCAGCTTCTTTTCAATTGCGTATGAGAGCCATAGTTGCCCCCAGCAAGAGTGAGAAGCGGGTAATCGATATATCAGGTAAAACCCTTCATCCGCGGACACAGCAGGAGAAAAGAAGCCAAAAAAAAAAAAAGATTAAATGTGGGCCACGTTATCGCCAGGGTTATCGCCAGGCACATCCCATGTACCCTGTACGCCGTCCTCTGTCACCTATTCCCGTCGTTATTATTGTTGGGAGCTTGTTGGTGTTATTGCATAGTATGTATATTCACATAGGTATATGTATGTATATAATGTATCTGCTTGATAAAAAGGGAGACAGAACTGTGATCGGAGTCATCGAGAATCCATTTTTCCATGTCGCCGTTCGTTTTTGTGTTTTAGATGGGGAGGTATATTATCCGGTCATAAAAGCAGGTTTTACTCACCCGCGAGTAGAGTGAGACAAGGCTATTGTGGGGTAAAATAAAGGAAGACGAAAGGCGAGGTTGTGGTCATTAAAATCGGGTGCTGAGGTATCGTGGCCAGGTCCAATAATAATAACTCTCAATAATCCATTTTCATAGCTCTGACGCGGCCTTTTGTCGCCGCCCCTCACTTATATCATGCATTTTCACCGACTGACCAACTTGCGACTGGCTCCGGCTATGATGTGGCTGCTGTTGTTGCTGTTGTTGCTGTATTAAGGCCAGCAAGCTGGTTTGTGACGGTAATGGTGGTCCCGTCCCAGAGCGTCGCCGTCTTTCCCGCTCAGAGAGTCCGCTGCCGGAGGTACTCCTCGAACCAACCGGGTCAACACTCTTGCGGAACTTTCTATTCATCCCATTTAACCAGCCATGATCGTCATCTTCAAGCCAGTAGTTGCGGCCTACAGAGACCATAATGCGGCCCAATTTTCCCTTCCATCCCTGCCCTTCTGGAGATCGGATGTTGAATGGGTTCGGGTCGATATCTATATTACTTATTAGGGAGGTGTTGCGGCTATGAGTATGAAGAGAGCGACGGCGAGAGACGGACGTGCGAGCGTGAAACGAATGTTGTAAGATACAATGGCGCGCAAAGGATAGCATTACAAAGACGAAATAAACGCGGATGGTCCATAGGGTGCAGATGATTCCGATGCTCTGTAAGCTTTCTGGTTGCAGGACGGCGTTTCCAAGGCTTGCGGAACCAGATTGAGCTCCACTTGAAGTTCTGGTGGGGGTGGAGGAGGGTTGAGAGCTGGCTGAAACATCGCTACCCTCACTGCCATCTACAAGCACGGAAGAGACGTTCAATTTGGGAGTGATGAAGCCAGCTGTCTCGCCCATCATGGAGCTACCTGGGCCGGACGCCGCGGATCCGGGCTCGTGGTGTTGGGAGATAACGAGGAACCAGGTCACGGCAAAGGCGGCAGTGTAAGCTGCGTTGATGACGCTGTCGAGGAGATAGAACCAGGCCAGCGCGAGACATTGTAGCGGCGATTGTAGTCGGATATGTGGGGCCAGAAAGGCCGTTAATGCCAGGCCCAGGATCGAGTAGATGTACATCGAGAGTTGGAAGGGGGAAAGATGATATCCCGTTAGGAGGGCAAGCAGGCCGTAGAGCCCACTGATTTTGTTCAATAGGAGAGAGAGCGTGATGACGGTCGCCCCGGTTTGTAGGCTCATCACATAGAGAAAAGACTGGCGGTTGGGAGTTTGACCGACAGGTTGCAAAGTCAGCCGCAAGGACGTGACCACAAGATATGATACCTACTGATAGATATCACATCTTGTTGCACCTTTTAGACGGAGAAGAGGAAGACGTACCTGTGGCCGCGGAATGCGGAGAAATCGTAATGAGAAGCCCATATCGCTGATGTGAAACGCAGCGGGCTGGGAGGGATGCCCTTTTAGAGACGCAGCCTGCAGAGTGAGAACAACAGCAGGCTATATCTGAGGCGAGGTTGTCTCTAGCTTCTTGTCAGAGCGTAAGTAACGACGAAGCTGACGCGAGAGAGTGAGGAGGTATAGCCGGAGGATTGGTTGTTGGTTCTACGGTAAAATTTGTGGGGAGGAAATTCTTGCATGATCCGTCCGAGCTTAACCCATGGATACCGTTGGGATTTAACTCAGTAGCAAGCAACACCAAGTCGGTGAAGAACCGGTATGAGACAGTGGAGAAAATCACAGCAACGGGATGTGATGGGGATAAGTTTCTTCTTGCTTTGGGGGTGGGCGGGGGTGAGCTATTAACTACGGAGTATTGACGGGCTATTTAGTTATTAATCGATCTTATGTACAACCGAGAAAATTCCGAGTGACTATTTATTTAACTGGTTAACTCAGCTGTTGAGATTAACCTTTACGGCACGCTTCCGCTGTTACAGGATCCATGGATGATACATTTACAAAGGACAGACGTAAGGTTGATGATTAAATATGATAATAAATACCTATGCATGAAGCGAATGAGACTGGAGAATTCAAATCCATAGCTTCCATCCAGCATCATTAATAAATAAATATATATAGCAGTCCAACTGGCCAGAGATGAAAGTATCCCCCTCAAAAACGCGCTCGAATATGATCGAATCCTGTACACAATAGCAAAAATGCGTTCGAAACTTACTAGAGTAATTCATGGATAACCTCAAGCCAAAATCAGAAACGCGGTGATTTTTTGAAACAAAACACCAAACAAACATAAATCACGACCATGAAAAAAGGACTCCATCAAGTCAATGCAAGCAAAAACCGAAACCATATAAAACTAGAAGGTCAAGAGCATGCTCGATAATGTCCAAAGGATGGGATAGGAATTTCAACTTGAAGGAAAAGCTGAAGTTTATAATAATAATAAAAATTAGGGATTAAGGCAACATAATAAAAACAAGAGTGCCGGTAGTGTGAGAGTGGATCCAAGAAGTACAAAACAAGAGAGCAAAAACAGGCTCCCAGTTAGTCTACGGCTTTCTTCGCAAAAAGGAAAGAAGCAAAAATCCAACCATGCAATGAGAGGATATGCGACGACAAAAAGAATGAAAGGATGAGAAACGCAAACAATTACGACGGACAGTTAAGCAAGAAATGGTAAATGCCACAGAAAACCAGGAACACGTGGATATCCCATTAATATTGAAGCGAAGTATTTTCAACATTCTCTAGCATGCGCATCCATCGTTGCTCACAGGTTGTGTAGGGTTGATGTTAACATCGATCACTAGACGGGGGTAAGAGAAAAATAAGTCAGTATAATGTCCTCACATGATGCAGAACATAGTAAAAACCACCCCATAATTGGCGACCAAAATGAATAACTATTAATTATAATATTAATAATAAATAAAACACTTACTCTGATTGGCCCCCCGTCCCGCCTCATCATCCATCCCAGGCAGCGCCTGCGCTATCCTCCGAAACAGCTGCTTGACATTATGTCCAACCTTTGCGCTCGTCTCAATGAACATGAGCCCATTCTTCTTAGCCTCCTCCTCGCCCTGCGCCGTGGTAACTTCTCGTCGATCGTTCAAGTCCGTCTTGTTCCCCACAAGCACGATGATTACGTCGTTGCCCCGTTCCCCGCGCACATCGTCAATCCATTTGCGCGTGTTCTGAAACGATTTGGCGTTAGATATGTCGTAGACGACTACTGCTACACTTGAGTCGCGGATGTACGATGGGATTAGGGAGCGGAATCGCTCTTGGCCAGCTGTGTCCCATAGTTGGAGGCGGACGGTTCTGTCTTCGAGGTACATTGTCTGGTTGGAAAAGGGGGGACAATGTTAGTTGCGCAGAATGTGAAAGGTGTAGAAGATAGATAATAGCAGTATGGGGCTTATTGGTAAAAAATGGCTTTGAACCTACTTTCGACAGGAAGTCGATACCAATTGTAGCTTGGTACATGTTATCGAATGAGTCGTACATAAATCTGGTAATCAGGGATGTCTTTCCAACTGCCGGAGGTGTAACAAATAAAATCCAGGGTTAGTTAATTGAAGAACCGGAGAGGGATATACTTATACTATCGAATAACGGTTACTGACCACTCTGTTCTCCAAGGAAGACCAATCTAAAGGAGAGTCGGTCAGTCAGCATCATGAGTTCCTCATGGTGAAAATCTTTTTTCGGGGCAGAGGCGTACTTGAATTTCTTAAGGGGGTTCGAGTACGACCCTGTTGCTGATTCTGAGGCCATTACAACAAGGTGAATTGTGTTGTAGAGCGGATTAAGGTTGAACCAGGGTGAGTTAGAAGTGAAGATGGGATTTGGTGATATCCCAAGGGAGATGAGGATCCAGCAAAGGATAGATCGTCAGCAACGTCTCTAACGTAACTAGTCGCAAATGCCGTAGTCGCTGTACAAAAAACAAATCAAATCAAGAGACAAGATACGAGTGGTCCTTTTTGGACTGCTGCGATATATATCTAAGCTAGCCTGTATATTGTTGGTATCTTTTTTGTTTCCAATCTGACGAGGTTTTGCTGGCGGTAGTTAAAATGTTGCTGGCGGCAAACGTGGTTAATTCCGCACGCTTATTTTAGCTCACGGAGTCCTCCTGCTTAGGTAAGGCTCTACTTCCCGCCGTTCGTCCACTGACAAGTAGTTAGTTAACTAGTTAAACATTCTACTGGAGTTTCACTATTTTGATAGTACCTTTCACCACATCATCAAGCACCACACATAGCTAATACCTCACTCTTAGCTTGCTGCGGGTGCCAGCAAGTATTCCCCCTTCCGTCACCAGTTGTTTCGGTTGTGTGGTGTACTCCTCTCCGCCCTGCTGTGTTCTCCCTGCTAGGATTCTTCGGAGGTGCAACACCGCCATGGGTCTCAGGTACCCGGTTGGCGGCGCGGCCGCTTTTCTCGCAGTTGTTGGGCTTTGTGAGTACACAACCAAACCTGATTGTATGGCTCTATTTCATGACTGACTTGAAATGTGGTCTAGACATGCTCTTTAACAGCGATGGTGAAGTCTTCAACGTATGTCATATTGTCTATTCGTTCCTACACGCAAGGCAAAATCGAGCTAATATACAGATGTAAAAACAGATCGGACTATTTCTTGAGACGGTTTCTCCTTATACCTTTGCTAGTATGGGTATTGGCCTCTGCATCGGTCTATCAGTCGTGGGAGCAGCATGGTGAGATATCTACTTAGCTGATCCACGACGCAATTATATGTACTGATTTATTTCAATGGATTCCGCTTCTAACTCGACATTTCTCGTTTGTTAAATCAACAGGGGAATATTTATCACCGGCTCCTCAATCGTAGGCGGTGCAGTCAAGGCCCCAAGAATACGAACAAAAAATTTAATCTCCATCATTTTCTGCGAAGTTGTCGCCATTTACGGCGTTATTATGTCGATTGTCTTTTCGTCAAAAGTCACCTACATCGCTGCCGATGAGCTCCATTCCGGGAGTAACCTGTACACTGGCTATGCGCTATTCTGGGGCGGCTTGACTGTTGGGGTGTGCAATCTTGTCTGCGGTATTTCTGTGGGCATCAACGGAAGCAGTGCTGCATTAGCTGATGCGTCAGATCCTAGCTTGTCAGTAGCATTCCTGATTCTTGACGCACATTGTTGCTGACCCATTTCGTGAAAAAAAAAAAAAAAAAAAAAAATACAGGTTTGTCAAAGTTCTCGTAGTCGAAATCTTCAGCTCCGTCCTCGGTCTCTTCGGTCTCATTATCGGTCTGCTCTTATCCGGAAAAGCCAACGACTTTGCTTGAAACTATTTGAGGGGAAATTGAGGAGTTATTATGATTGTTTTGGATAACCCAAAGAAATGGAAGAAACCACTCCTCTCCCTTCCCAAGAGGAAGGCCAGTGTCTTTGTCAGAATCATCTCATAATTCGAGATGAACTTATTATCGTTTTATGTTGTGAAGGACGATTCGATCTGTGGCGATTTGGAATAACCACAGATGCAATATTTATGAATGATTAGAAATGGGCTCGGATACATCTTTTTATAACGCCATTACTGGAGGAGGCAAGGTCAGGATAACTAGAAATTAAGGGACACGACGGCCCAGTCCTTTGTGTGGTTATATATGTGTACAGTATTTTGCTACTTTCACGGAATCATGTTATTATTTTCTTGTTCATAAGGGAAACCACGGTCAGGAATAAAATGGAAGTGCTTACATATGGTGAAGTGACTTATCCAATACTGAGCCCAGAAAGTGGATAACCCCAGTGTCTGCATATCGTATAGGAGGAAGGTTAGGCAATTTACACCTAGATTGACAGTGAGAAGCGTTGTGCCATTTCAAAGCCTGTAGGCTCAATGGAGTATGGTATGCTCCCGAGTTGGCGCCTCCATAAACCACTCTCAGCTTCATAGCGTTGTGACTGATAGGGTTCTCCGACCTGCTGATCTGCTATAAAATTGTTCAATTACGTTGCTTGGTGCATAGTTACCGAGATATCGAAGTTGACTAAACTCGGGAACCATTTCCGATGATCCCGTTTCGGGCCGACGCATCCGACGGCAGAACTTACGTTCAATCACCAAAATGCTTCTATCCCAAAACACCAACGAAGTATTGTGGGATAACTGTACTTCTTCATGGCTGACTCTAAGTTAAAGGCTGCTATTCTGGTTGTTTCTGATACTGCCTCTCGGGATCCTTCAACGGATGAAGCGGGGAATGTTTTGACGGAGACATTCGCCGTTGATGGAGGGCACAATTGGCATACCCCTGTGACGGTAATCGTCCCGGATAATGTCCAAGAAATCCAACGGCAGGTCCTCTCTTGGACAGATACGGAGAATTATTTTAACCTTGTAATTACGACGGGAGGGACTGGATTTGCTGTCAAGGATAATACCCCCGAGGTTGGTAATGAGCATAACTTCGGTTATTTAAACCCCCATTCCCCCCCCCCCCCCCCTCTCTTTTTGGCAATGAAACATCGAATATGAACATAATGAAAGTTAACAACTGCCTTAGGCTGTATCACCCCTTATCCATCGACATGCCCCTGGGATTGTGTAGGTTTACCAACATCCCCTATTTCTCTGGGTATTTTGCTGCATATTAGTCTGACTTATCTAGCCATGGCATGCTGGCCGCATCTCTAGCCGTGACACCCTGTATGGTACCTCCTTTTAGCAGCCTCTGTGTCGACCGCTTGGAGTGAATCTGATTTGTTTTTGCAGTTGCTATGATGTCCAGACCTGTAGCAGGTGTGCGGAATAAGTCATTGATGATAACTCTACCTGGTTCACCAAAGGGAGCAAAAGAGAATCTCCAAGCCGTTATTAAGCTTCTCCATCATGCCTGCATCCAGGCTGCCGGTGCTGATTCCAGAACCATTCATGCCGGTGGCATTCAGAAGCTAGAGAAAGAAGCTGGCATCACCCACGGTTCTACCGGTCCGCCCGAAGATAAATCCCATTGCCATCACCATCACCATCATCATCATGGCCACAACCATGGTCATGTTGTGCCACAACCTCATACAATACCTGCGGACCGTCCTCAATCAAATGATCCCAATGCAGGGCCCCCCAGGCGATACCGTGAATCCCCATATCCTATGCTTTCAGTGGAAGAAGCTCTCAAAATTGTTATTGGAAAAACACCAGGACCAACCGTTATTGAAATTCCAGTGGACATCTCTCTTGTCGGATCTGTCATCGCGGAAGATATTTATGCATCCGAAGCAGTTCCGGCATATCGAGCAAGTATTGTGGATGGCTATGCTGTTATTGCATCTCCACATAAGGCAGATGGTACAGGGAGCACAAAAGGAAAATTTCCTGTAGCATCAGTGTCTCACGCACAAGCAAATTCTATGCCACCGCCATTGAAACCGGGGGAAATCGCACGGATAACTACCGGGGCTCCACTGCCCGAGAATGCAAATGCAGTTGTCATGGTGGAAGATACAGTCCTGATATCTACCACCCCTGACGGCAGTGAAGAGTCTGTTGTGGAAATCTTAACAGGTGACATCAAAATTGGAGAAAATGTTCGCGAGGCTGGCAGCGACGTCGCTCTAGGATCCAAAATACTTCAAAAGGGTGACCTGGTTACTGCAGTTGGAGGAGAGATCGGTCTTCTCGCATCGACTGGAACCCGAACTGTCAAGGTATTCAAGAAGCCCCGCATTGGAGTCCTTAGCACCGGTGATGAACTTGTCAACCATTATGACACCACCCCTCTCCATGGCGGGCAGATTCGTGACTCAAACCGCCCTTCCTTATTGTCATGTCTTACCGCCTGGGGCTTCCCAGCAGTCGACCTGGGGATTGCAAAGGACACACCGGCAGGGCATCTGGAACAGTGTCTGCGCGACGCTCTCCGAGGCAACCCGAAGACACCAAGTGTCGACATCATAATAACGACCGGGGGCGTATCCATGGGTGAGCTGGACCTGCTTAAGCCCACCATCGAGCGCCAACTGGGAGGCACAATCCATTTCGGTCGGGTATCAATGAAACCAGGTAAACCCACGACCTTCGCAACCGTCCCATTCAAACCTGCCGTATCTTCCACGGATCCCACAGCACAGTCTGAGCGGGAGATGAAACTGATCTTTTCCCTTCCCGGAAACCCTGCTTCTGCGCTGGTTACACTGAATCTATTCGTTCTCCCCTCACTGCACAAGATGACTGGTCTGGGCATAAGGAGCCAGCAACAAAGGGACTACAAATCTCATCTCGGCCTCCCAATTGTTACCGCAACTCTGACACATACGATTCCCCTCGATCCCAAACGTACAGAGTACCATCGGGCCATTGTAACGGCGTCGAGGGTAGATGGCAGCCTGCTTGCCACTAGTACTGGGTTGGGAGGTCCTGGCGCTGGTGTGGGACAACGCAGTTCACGCGTTGGAAGTTTGGCTGGTGCGAATGCACTGTTGGTACTTGAGCCTGATATTGGGGTAGCATCCAAGGGAAAGAAGGTGCAGGCTTTGTTAATGGGAAATGTTGTTCCAGAATAGGGAAATGATGTTGAGTTGCGGGCAATTGATGGCTTAATTGATTTGATATTATTTAACAGAGTAATGAAATCTAAAGCGTTACTCAATTTTGCACGTTCGGATCACTTCACCACTAGATAGATGGAGCATACGTTTATCCTGCTTGTCACATAATGGCAGATACCAAAATCATATTTTAGGCCGGACCAAACAGCAAGAAATGGCGAACCCTGGGAAGACACCATGCACATAATTCCTAACCAAACCTCCAGAAAAGGAATATCATGGTATCTATATGAATACCCAATCTAAACCCCAAAACATGTCCCCAAAATCATATGCACCCAGCAAAACCTATAAGAACCAAAAGATTAACCCCCAGCAACCCTCTAAATCCCTACACACACACACAAAGTCACATAGAACTTCTCACATCCCCTTAGCCCTCTTCCACCCCTTCTTTTTCTCCGCTCTTAACGCTAACAACGTCCCTTCCCTCCCCCTCTTCCTCCCAATCTCCACAACCAAAAACCTCACGAAGTCTTGCAATACCCAATAACTACTATGCGCAGTCAACATATTCAGATACTGAATATTCAACGGTCCGCCCCCACCACTAAGATAGAAGTCGATCTGACCGTTGTCATTAAGGAGGAACATGCGCTTCTCGGCCAGTTCCTCGCGGGAGAAGTCGTGCGTTTCCATCTCGATGTTGGAGGGTAGTTTGGCGATGCTAGCGGGGCTCTGGTTTTGTTGCAAGAGGGACGAGGCGGATAGATCTATGGTACTCTGTGTGGGGGGCTTGGTGGACGTCCAGTGAAAGACGCTGCCCAAAGTTTGTAGGAGGGTTGTGGTAGAACTGGGGACTGAGGCTGGTTTGAGAGAGTTGGCGAGATCGCTGTCAACAGCTGCGTTAAGTCGGTAGGCGATTGCTAAAGGATGTGTGGCATTGATAAGTTTCTGTGCAGACTCAATAGCATGGGGCTGATAATCTTACGGTCGGTATCATGCATAACGTTATATAGATTGTCCACTGCTAGGCAGCCGTAAGTACCTGCATCCCCTACAATACCTGGCTCTTGGTCTTCACCATATGTCCCTGGTTTATGTCGGTTTCGCCGAGGAAGGAGTGTTGCTAGAAGGGAAGTTAGTTTTCTGGCTTCGTTTCCTCATTCGAGAAAAGATGGGCATGATACGGACATTTATTCAACAGCAAAAAGAAGCCAGCTGGACTTCCACAGAAGAAAACGTTACTGGTATCAAATTCAAACATGGTTTGACTAATTTTCGAGAGTTCAAAATCAATCCACGGTATATGGGTAGGCTGCTGGCTTAAGATATCCATCGCCATGATACTACCCAGGGAGTGCGCAATCATGTGCACTTTGCCTGTTCTTCGAAAGTCTGGGTTGTTATGACACCAAAGGCGATATATTCGATTTGCTTCTTTGATCACTGCTTGGACCATTTTCTGTTTGTGGTGCGACAGGTAGTAAGGTATATCAAGCATAACATCACTGATTAAGGTTCTTATGACAGGGATAGTTTCAGGAGTAATGTCTTTCAACCCGAACTTGTTCCTAGCTGGGTGATCCAATATGGAAGCTTCGACATCGGCATCTTCAAGGGACAAAGTCGACCGCCAATTGACAGGTAGAACCATAATGCCTTCGAGGTCAGGACGCATATGAGGCCAAACGGCATCACTGTTGAGTTCAATATTGACTTGCCTTCGAAACGCGTTAATAGCATGTGTGAAATGGTAACTTTCGACCCGTTCGGATAATTTTTGACCAATGCCGTGAACAACCAACACCAAATCAGAAACAATGGGTCGTTTGTCTTCCATTTGGCAGGCATAGCATATTGGGCGCCGATTAAACATCTCTCTTTCGGCACTTTGGTGCATCTTCACGATCCTCCTGCCACTGGCTGCGGGAACTTTAACTGGGTGAAGCCTATCCCAAGCCTGGGCATCAAACCCCCTAACAACAGGAATCCCTATCTGTCTTCCCTTACGAATTGCACTTAGAGGACGTCGTCCCCTTGAAGCAGAAGGTAACAGGTTCGGCCTCAGGATTTGGGCATTTTTGTAATCAACATATATCACGCTTGAATTCTTGAATAGTCTGGGAGCATCCGGTGGTGTCATGGATCCTGCAGCCTGATTCTCATGACCTATCGATTGGCCCAATGTCTCAGCTGCCTTTTGAATTGACAGGCGTTTTGATGAACCCACCTCCCTTCCAGCATCCACAGCATTGGGTTCCTTTGCCTCTTCTTCCTTTGGCCAGATTCGATGCACAATTTTCATCTCAGCCTCCGCTCCATTTTCTATACAACTATTCAGCTCATCCTGCCAGGTCTCATTCCAGGGTCGCATATACATATAACCAGCTTCAAGTTGGTTTGCAATTTCAGGTTCAACGGGAAGCATGGTGTTCTTATAGAACCACGTAGCTCGAATGACTGACGATACATCGTGAATAGGATTCCAATATATAGGTTTCATCTAAAAAGGATTTGGTTAGAAGAGTTACAACAAAAGTTAAAGGGGAAGCAACGATTGCTCACCTCTAGATTTGGGAGCTCCACAGAATGCAGTCTTGAAATACCAACTGGTATAATAACATCAGGCTCCTTTTGGAAATCCACTGGAGAAACTTCTGGTTGGGATGCTGAGAGCCGCCTTACCGAGGGTCTCGATGGACTACCTGCAGGTTTAATTTTAGAACTAGATGAAGGTGTATCACTGCCTTGCGGCAATTCCATCATCCCACCCATGGGATGGGAAGCTTTCCTTAGGGTGGTGGGGGCCCTGATGAAAGGAGATCCAGTGATATTTGTATCCCCAGAATGTAAGGACGTTGAAGGAATCGACCGGCCGGTCTGAGAAGAGTATGATCCGTAGGCATCATCACCACCTTGGGATGAGATGCTTTTCCTCCTGGAAGCTTTCGAAGCGTGACCAGTTCGAGGACTATGTCGTTGTAATGAGTTGGGGCTATTGAAGCTTCGATCGGGAGTAACAGCTTGTCCAGCCGATCTTCCGTAAGTATCTACGCCAGGTGACTTCCTTGGCACTTGAATTGGTGTTGAAACACCTGTATCCTGATGCTGTTCCTGGCCTTGGAGAGAAACTTGATCAGTAACCTTTGTAAGAGATTCTGTATCTGGATTTGGAATTTCGTTGCCCGCAGCGCTGAATAGTGCCATTATGATAAATCGTAAATCGTTCCTCCAGTCGCTCTCAGAATGCTGGCTAACTTGCTCAATTACATCTCTGAGGGTCGACAACACAAGTTTCCTTTTCCCTGCTTCATCAATCTTAGAGCCTCCACATTCCGTAGCATACCGTTCAAGGAGAGCAAATACCGAAGCGGAATCGTGGCATTGCCCAATTGGAGTTAGGTCTATGCCTGCTGAGACATTTTTGAAGTTGCGAACAGCGCTCAACGCCTCTGAGATGAGTCTGTCAACATCCAACCTCCAATTTCTCCCTATCTTCTCCGCAATGGCACCACTCTTGTGAGCGGCTTTGGCGTCTGCATCTTCCTCTGAGCTTCTAAGTCCCTGCCATGCCTCTTCAAGTGCAATATTATCTAGTACCGAGAAGGGTCGAGGAGGAAAGTTAGCTTGTGAGGAACCCGAAGTCGCAGGAGCAGGCAGAGGAGTTAGAGGGTCGTCTATTGGGAAAGACGAGAGGTAGAAAAATTGCGCGCGGATCTTAGGAGGCGTTATCGAAATGCTGAAATCTGATCTTGTTGCTGGGTGATTTTCAGGGTCGTATAACAGGCATGTTGGCCCGTAGGTATGTAATACCCTCAACATACTTCTGGATCGGATGAAACCGTAGGTGCCTGTAGAAGGTTACCATTCAATATGAATAGGATAAGAGCTCCAAAATAGAAAAAAAGAAAAACCCTTTGTCCATATCATGTCTAGAAAACTAAGCATAATAAGATGTGGGTTCGTAAATAACGGTCGCTGCCTTGAAATATGAATGAGTAGATGCCTTGATATAGAGCTGCCTTGGGGAGTTGGAGCTCCGACGAATAGTTAGACGAAGAGCAACGAACGGGATCTCAACCCCTCATATAACCGCTTAAAGAGAGTTAGAATAGCTGAATAAGTAATAATATACGGCTGGAAAAATGTACTTCGCAAAACTGAGCCAGACATCGTGCTCTGTTGAATTTGACTTAACGTGAGTGTGGTTTGAAGGTGGCTCGAAGCTGTGATCTGCCAGCAAAAATTAGGTTTGGCCAACTATTAACTAACGTAATCCACCCGGAGCGAGCATCCCCACCGAGCGAGCAGCCAAATCAACGTATCCCAACTAACTAGATTTTAATTCAAAATATCTCCCCACTACAACGCTCAATTAAATTAAATTAAATTAAGTTACACTAGCTTGAGGACATCTTATTCTTGTATGCCTGAGAGTGCCGCAATTGCTGCAGCGTTGTGAAGCCCATTGGGGTGGTGCAGGCTCAGTTGGCGGAGGTTCGCGGGGTTGAATATTCAGTTGTTCAGCAGGCTCAACTAGAAGACTCTGAGCTTCTCCACTAGTTAAACCTCCATCTGCTTGTTGAATTCTGTGTGTAGATCTTTTGCATTTCTGCTCATCTATCTCATTCGCGTTGAATATATCCTGGTAACGCTTCTTCATGATAAGAGGGTAGGAGTGCAGAGCTGAATATTCAGCTGCTGGATAACATAGTCAGACTGAAATAGCACTATTCCAGTAACCTTGAAGCCATTCTGAATGCTCTGAGCTCTGAAAGCTTCCATACAGGCTGAAGGATAAGCTTCTAAGAAATCAATATTTTGAATAGCATTGATTCCAAGCTGCATTCGCTGCTCGACAAAGTCATCATATGTCTGCTTAGCACTGCAAAACACTCACATCTAGAGGTTGCAAAAGATGTGATGAATGTGGCAGCATGCAGAGTGTAATAATTCCATTATTCTTACAGATTTGATCAAATTCTGGTGTAAGATGGCAGCCATGCCTGTCCAGGATAAATAGAATAGAACTGCCAACCTGACGTGGGTTTTGCTGCAGGAATAAACAGCCTAGTAAGCCATTTGATTCCCATCTCATTCATGGTCCAACCGTTGGCGCTATCATTCAGCCTCCAGTTATTTGGCAAGCCTTCAAACCAGCCTTCCTGCAGGCTCTGCCCTTTGAGAATGATATATGGCGGTAGCGCTCATCCAGAGACATTCACTGCCGCAATCACAGTCACCCATTTGTGATTTCCAGGCTGCAAAAGCTTAGCCCAGCTGTAGCACTCACTACTAGTGAATAACCTTAGTAGTGGTGCAGAGTCCCATTGCAAAGCCAGTCTCAAAGTTGTATATATCTTCTGGCAGAATTCCATGCTCAGCAATTGTGTATCCCAAGGTCTTAAATTAATCCTGAGTAATCGTTATATCCTCACACTTAGCCTGATCATAATTATAGTGTCTGGAATAGCAACATTGGAGCTCCATACAGCGTTTAATCAGTTTGTAAACCCAGTTCTTGCCCACGCGTTGAGGGGTAGTGGTGGAATCCTGTAGAGATCGAAGATAATATTCTCAACAAACGCCGGCCGGCGGGGGGAATCCTAGTTTAGCCAGATCAAGAATCCACTGACTAGCATATTTTCTTCAGGCTCGGTCAATTTAATTGAATTTGCATGGAAATTCACTCTTGCAGTTCGACCATTAAGTCTATGACTGAGAGTGGAATGAGGCACATAAATTAGAAGATATTTTGAATTGGCTTGTTCGTTCGGTGGGTGGATTACGTTAGTGATCTACAACGTCATCAAGTCCTCGCTTAGGTAACTAACTTAATCTCTTCGACCAAGATCCATTTTCACGTGATAGGGGCACATACAGAAGCGGCTACAATAGGTAGTTACTGTACAACAGGGTAAATATATGGAATGCCGGCCATCAGAGAAACCTGAATAAAATGATAAAAACGACTCCATTCTCCCACATTAGTTAACTTCTCCCTCCCCTTACAATGCAAGACTTACGAGCAGTTAAAGTGAAGAACCAACACCAGCTTCGGCTTCGCCCATGCGCCAAAATCGTACAAAAGACCGCCGGAAAGACCATAAACCTCAGAATCAACAACAGTAAGGGGACACTGGCATATAAACAAGCAGCAAATTTTACCAAACACCGCAAAGAAATTCCATCGATGCTACAAAAGCATGCTAGAAGACGACTGCCAAGAACATATACGTGGGCGTCTAACAGGACCCTGTTAATCTAGATGGCCTCATTCGCGGCGACCATCCCGAGATCTGCCCCTCTCTTCGTTTCCACGCCGACCGAAGGAAGGCGGGTGATACTCCCTTGTCACCCCATGGTGACCCATAGATTGTATCACTCTTTCTTGTTCCTGTTTCATTAGCGCTAGCGTATTGACTTGCAGCTCTTGGAATGCAAGGAACGTGACAAGCGGTGCGCCGAGCATCTCCAGGATCTTGTGCGTGTCATGCATATGCTTTCTGATGACGCTGTCGGGGGTGCAGAATGTACGGACGCTCATCTCCTTGGCAACTGCTTTCCAATTGCGCAAGGTGCTATTGAGAGCAACCACGTTCTGCGAACATTCGCCGTGGAATTTGAACGTGCGCAGGTTGTAGATGATGAGGTCGCGCTGGGTAAGCTGGTCGAATTGAAACTGCACGACTTGCGGTCGATTTTTGGAAGTCCAGAAATTAGTGATTTTGGTGACGGATTCCACTGACATGCGACTGTCTTTGTGCTGATCGAGAAGGAATTTGTTGGCTGTCACGCAGATCATGAGCTCCATTTCAGAGTATAGCTTTGCTTGAGTTGGGGGATCCAGCGAAATGGGGAAAGTAGATTGGAGCCTCTCCTTGGATTTCTTGACGTCCCCAGCCTAGAGAATAAAATATCTAGTCAGCTATAACTAGCTTGTGGCCAAAAAGAAAGAAAGGTGACTGCGGGAGGTATAATTTGTGGACTTACAATGTCTTCAACACGCTGTTTAATCTTTTCTCCAATAGACCTCAAACCAGGCATTTTGTTCTTTTCGGAGAGACCCTCCTTCAAGGATGGGCTACGGCCCAACCAACCGTTCTCGCCAAACAGTTTCTTATGCGGCGACCTAGACCTCTTCCTCGGACTTGGTAGAAATTCGAGAGGTGAGTTTTCGTCAAGGTCCTCGAGAACTTTAACCGGAGAGAGAGATCTACGTCGACCACGTCCTCTCTCTGGGGATCGGGAGCCAGAACTCTGCTTCTCGTACCTGATGAAGGCATTGGGTGCAGGATCCCAATCATGGTGATAATTTTCTCCACCGTATGTTGCACCGTCATAATCCGGATTGCTATCAAGAAATCTGACATTGTTCCCTTCAGATTTGGATATCGGGAGGCGTCTATTGTATTGGTTTACATCAGTTGGGTAAGAGAAAGCCTTCGGCGGGATGTTTGGTGTGGCTTCGGTTGTCCCAGTTGTGTCTAGGTTAAACGGCCAAATTATTTCGCGCCCTCCTGAAGATTGGCCGGAATCTTCTGCGCTGCCGTGTGGTGAATCACTTTTAACCAGGTTAACATCAGTCGCCTCCAAGACACGTGTGTATGGAAAATGGACCTACGTTGTATACATGATTGGCACTTCTACAGAGTGTTTTGGATTATACTTGTCGGGTTCCAACGTAAGAATAGGCTTTCCAGTGTTTGTCACCGACTTGAGGAGGGGATCGTTCAAGATTTCACGCGTTAACACACGGAAGTTGCCTTTAGTCGGAGAGCCAGAAGAAGACTGAGAGTACGCGGATGCACTCGAGGCTTCGGAGTAAAGGAAGGAGTTGTGAGCTCCAAACCGTTGTGCTCGAAGCCTCTCCGTTGCTTCGCGCAGTTGCTGGGAGCAACTGTGGTCAATATCTAGACCACGAATACCCTCTATAGGGGCATCTTCGTATTCGAGGTCATCCGATCGGTTGAATCGATTCTCCATTCTGAATAGAGTAGTATGTGCGTGGGTGTGTGATTTCCAGACCCCTGAAGTTTGGGAAAAGAAGAACAAACACCAGAGTGGTTGGTTGCTACGGTCGACGCACCCAGGTAAGACTCGAGCTTTGCGTTAACAGCTAGTGATCTAAACGATATTGAGGTTTGGGAGTCTGAAATAGGACATAAAACAATTAATAAATTGATAAAGATAAACTCGTTTTCCTTTAATATTGCCGGTTCATGATATAAGCTGAGTCGTAACTGATGGAAGGAAAATATTAAAACGGAAATAAAAGAGAATCCCTATGGAAATGAAGGATATATCAAAGATACGATATTCCAGAAGTGAGCTCAGCACCAACAAATAATACTAAAGATTAAAGGTCTGGCTTGTTGTAAATGCATAATTTGAATCACTCCACCATTGTCCTGGTTGAATTCAAGAATGGGCTTCAATTCAGACCTTTATACAATCAGTGAATAAAGCATATCCAATTTAACCTTGCTTGCATATTCTATGGTGCGGATATCCAGACTCGACGTTATGTCCACAAAGATCTCGCTTCCGGTTGTTCTGTTGATAATCGCCCTTCATATCACGGACACAGACAACTTTCAGGGACATCCAGACTAGGTTTCTAAGCAGAAAATTGCAAATAGTTTCTTAAGTAAATAGTCAGGGTTTGATGATTTGAGGCACAAGTAGTGGAGGACATTCCTCATAATCACAGAAGTTGGTAAAGATGTGTCTTTAGACAAAGAAAACAAATGAAGTATTAGAAGAGAAACAATGCTGCTAGGAACAGCAAAGAAAAAGAAAAGCCTTGCTCAACAAGGTTTGTAGCCACTTGTCACATAGTTCATTATTGTCTGCGACATCGCAGCATTGCAATGGGTATTTTAGATGTTGGCATAAGGTCTAGAGCGGAGAAAGAAAAAAATGAATTTGAAATTGAAACCTGTTGAAATTAAAGAAAAGGGCAAAAAAAAAAAAAAAAAAAAAAATGGCGCTGTGAAAAAGCAATTCGGAAGCGCAACATAAAAGAGGACAGGATATTAGTTATGTCCATGCTGATATCCAGCGTAGCGGCTCTCAATATGACTAACAGAGAAGAAATGCGGCGTGCATATCATCAAGCGACCATTGAAGTGCCTAGAGTCCAAATTCTTCAAATGTCCGCAGTGGGCAAGCTCCACAAATACGGGGAACAGATCATGGTCCAATTTCAGTCGTCCAGGCACGACTAAGATTCCAGGAGCAAAATCGGCTTGGATCCGCATGAACCGTGAATCTGCAAACAGATTCGGCAAGGACTTCAAGTACATCACCTATATTATTCACTTGAGTTTAACATCATCATCATCATCATCATCATCATCATCAAGGAAATCACGTTTATAGATTGTCACGACATGGCAATATTATTTGCTCGAGGTGTCAATTATGGTCTGGGAACAATCGTTCGACGGATTGAAATCAAAGAAGTTTCAGTCGAATGTTGAAAGAGGTTCGCGAGGTTTATGCTGACTAATCGCCCAAGTGACGATGCCACATGACCTGGAGATTGCCGACCGCCAGCTCCGAACAACCAACTAACGAAATGCAGCCTACGCTTTTCCCCCCCCCCCGCTGTGCAGCCTTGGAACAGAGCTGTGAAAATCGCCCAGGGTCGAGCTGCCACCTTGCGGGAGACATAACGGTGTATTAACGTTCCCCGCACCAGTAGGACCCTTGTTGCCACCTGAGGTTCTGTTCCATTTGGGTTTTCAAAAGCCGAGATGTTCTCATCCAAGACCGAAAATGGATCTTTTAATTCCTGCCGTGGGGAGGACTCCTTAGCAATGGCCTTAACAACTGAAGCCCTTTTTTAATATATATATATATATATATATATATATATAATAATCATAATATCCTAATAGACCTTGGATCCTGTATTAACAGGTCATTCTTCCCCATGTGTGTTGCTGATTTTACTATGTTGGTGGTCAGCTTGGAAAACCACTAGATAACCCATGGCAGAGCGGACAAACCTATGCCTATCTGCACAAAACGCCCGTTATAATAAATTCTCCCTTTCTCTGACATACTCCGCCATCAGCAGCGAAGACAATATGTCTCAATCAACAGACAAATACGATGTTGTTATCATTGGCGCTGGTCCAGTCGGTCTTTTGGCCTCACTTTGCTTCTCCAAGTGGGGTTATAAGGTCAAGCACATTGATAATCGTCCAGTGCCTACCAAAACTGGCCGGGCAGATGGCATTCAGCCGCGATCATTAGAGCTGCTTCGAAATCTTGGCATAAAGCGAAAGCTCATGGCTCACGATCCTGCCAGGGTTTATGACGTTGCGTTCTGGGATCCTTTGCCTGGGGGGAATGGTATACACAGGACGGGAAGTTGGCCCAGTTGCCCTTCTTTCATCGATACGAGATACCCATTCACCACCCTCTTGCACCAAGGTTTAATTGAACGAGCGTTCATAGAGGAGCTAGCAAAAAACAACACTACCATTGACCGCCCCTGGACAATTGTAGGGTTTCAGAATGATGGGAAAGATAACGCGTACCCGGTGAAGGTCAGGCTCAAGGATCTCGACACAAACGTCGAAGAAGTGGTGAGAACAAAATACCTATTTAGTGGGGAGGGTGCTAGAAGCTTTGTTAGAAGGCAACTGGGAATCCAAATTTTCCACAAGGATCCGATTGCTCACGTTTGGGGTGTGATGGATGGGGTCGTACGGACGGATTTTCCCGATATCTTGGTAAGATACTTGCAATTTCATCTACGAATGATCCATGGTTGTTGACCTGTATTCTTTCTTTTAGACAAAATGCACAATTCACTCAGATAGTGGTTCCTTAATGGTCATACCACGAGAAGATAATATGGTTCGGCTATATGTCCAGATTTCATCCTCGACTGACCCAGATTGGAATCCAAGGAAATCTGTGACAGTTGCAGAGGTTCAGAGAGCTGCGAAGCAGATTTTCCAACCTTACGGTTTAGAATGGGACCGGGTGGAATGGTACTCAGTGTATCCCATCGGGCAAGGCATTGCTGAGAAATATACATTGGATCATCGGGTGTTCATTGGGGGTGATGCTTGCCATACACACAGCGTGAGTTGGCTTTGCTCCCCTCTTCTATCAAAATATCTATGCGCATACAACCAGCTAACCTTTCCTTCAGCCTAAAGCTGGCCAGGGCATGAACACTGCATTTCACGATGCTTTAAATTTCGCCTGGAAAATCCACCTGGTCGAGGGCGGATTTGCCAAGCCATCAATCTTGACCACATATGAATCAGAACGAAAATTGATTGCTGAAACCCTCCTTGACTTTGACGCCAAGTATGCTGCCCTCTTCTCGACACGACAACCATCCGCAGACGAAGTGGGTGCAGCCAGCGACGACGACGACGACAACGATGGGACAAACCCTGCCAACGAATTCGTAGAGACGTTCAAATCCGCCTGTGAACTTACCAGTGGGTACGGTGTCGCTTACCAGCCAAATATTTTCAACTGGGGGCCTGATCATCCCGCCAAATCCCCTCTGCTCAACTCCGTAGGGGTAAAATTGGTTTCCGGTCGACCCTTTCCCCCATGCACAGTTACACGACTAAGTGATGCGTACAAGGTCGCTCTGGAGCAAGAGGTGCCCATCAATGGATCCTTCCGCATTCACATCTTCGCCGGAAACCCAGCCAAGACGCGAGAAGCAGTAAACGATTTCGCCTCTCATCTGGTGAAGAAGCTATCCTTCTACTCCAGTTATCAGCAAAGGGATATCGACACCGTCTCCTATTTCGAACGACACAATCCTCACTCCCGCTTCTTCACGCTCACCGTCATATTCTCGGGCCAGAAGTGTGCGAAAAGAATAGATCAACTGCCCAAGGTGCTGAGGGATTATCGTCATCACATATACGTCGACGATATCCCAGACATCAAAATGCCGAACGCCAAAGCGGCCGCCCATTCGAAGGTTGGCTTCGACGCGGAGCAGGGGGGTGTTGTTGTTCTAAGACCAGATGGGCACATTGCATGCACTGTGCAGCTTGTCAGGGGCGGCGGTACTGTAGATGCCCTGAATGAATATTTTGGGGCGTTTACGACTAAACTACTTGGGAGTGATCACTCTCGAGCAAAGCTCTGATATCATATATGATTCCATTGGCATTTGTATAGAATTATCATACATTTTCTGTTCATATACCTTGTCATTATATAGCTTTTGTTTGCTTGACTACACTTTTGTTAATTCCAAGAGATGCTAGGTCCATCAACTATTAACTATTGGTCTTTGATTTTTCTTCGTTAGTTATCATGTCATCACCCATGCCATCCACCATCTGATTCCATCGAAAATATACTTGCACTTCTTGCACTCTTTGATTGCCCTGCTATCTCTCAGGGCGGAATCTGGTCCGATCTGACCATCGCATCGCAGACGTTAATTAAAGCTCGTCAATATTTAGAAAGGCCAACCAATTCGTTTAGATTAGACCTGAAATCTCATCGGAAGGAAGAGCAGAAAAAACATTAACACCAAAACTTTCCTCTACCCCTCAGGACAGTAGAGGTGTCCGTTCGTCAGCAATATCCCCGTCGCCATCACCTTCGCCACTATCATCGGGTCCAGCTCCAGACACCTGTGTTGTATGTGGATTATTATCGGCTCTCTTCCGGGTTGCAGAACGATAAGAATCACGATAATAAAAATAGCCCCACAAGCTCAGCAACAACCCCTGCTGCAATGCCACGATGACAAGATGGATCCAGACACAAAAAAGCAGAGAATACATCGCAAGTACATAGTTCAAGTCCAGTCTATCTCCGAAATCTCCAAAATCGTTAACATCCCAGTACCGAACAATGTGAGCCACGAACAGTAGAATGTACACAATGCTCTGTATCCCCGTCGTCCACGGACTGAGGGAATGCGGCCGTTCTTCTTCTTCTTTTCCTTCTTCTGCTCCTGTATTTCCTCGGAAGAGACTTTTCATGCAGGGGTACAACTGGGGCATATAACAGATGAGAGAGAGGATGGCCGAGAGAATAGTCATTCCCAATAGCCAATAGACAGAAGCGATGGTGATAGTGAAATCTAAATCTGGTATCCGAGTGTCAATAGAGAAGACCGTGGAGGGTAACAAGACCGAATACAACCCGATACTGATTGCGGTCACTTTGGATATGAGAGTCCGGGATGGTTGAGGAAAATGTTCTCCTTCCTCTCCTTCCTCCTCTCCCTCCTCTTCTCCTCTTTCTCCCACCACTTCCTGGGTTAGTTTTGGAGATTGAGTACTGGAGTGGGAAGAGTTGCCGTAATTCTGGTAATAGAGGTATATGAAAAGACTTGTCGTTTTTGCCTGAGGTTAGCAGAGAACGACTACTACGGTGAGGCAGAAATCCTTTAACTTGTTTTACTAACAAACACTGAGCCCCGATCCAGTCAGCGACCAACTGCCAGTGGTCAGTCATCTGCAGTAGACACCGGCCGGCAGAGATCACCCCCTTGTCATGGATCTGACAAATATGCAACAGCTCGCGTGAAGCTGCTTGCGGCAAAAACATTGCTAGAACACAGGTGGCACTCATGGACCGGAACAAGACGAAGAAAGGCGAAATTCCTCGAGTGCTTTGGCGAGTCTTGATGCGGATATATTGTGGTATGTAAGAGAGCGCAATTGCAACGACCAGAAGCCTGAAAGAAGATTTAGCTTTAACGTTTCCATCGCACGCTTGCAGTCAATTTTTACGAACCAGTGCAATGTTAGGCTCCATACGGAAGTATGAACATAAGGAAATTCAGCCATATTCAATGGAGTATTTGAGCGCGGTGGACCGATCAATGTCGCGCCAGTTCTTGAATGAAAATGGGCGTTTGAACAGAAGTCAGTCTCCGGCAAGCGATTTCAAATATGCAACATTGACAATTATCATTAGTTGTGGCTTTCGAGAAGATAAATAGGCCTCCTCGGAATCTTTCCTCCACTGCTGCCTGGGCCATTGGGAAGTGTTCTATTTATGTTGCAGCTCCAGAATCAAGAAACCTCTTAACTCCGTAATTAGACGCCTGGATGGGATCTGACTTCTCTGAGAGTAGCCTGCCATCTTCACCGATGGCTAACTTCATAGGGAGAAGGGTTAGTCTCGCCTAGCTTGACGACAGACCCCAGATATATGTCCTGTCCATCAGTGCCACAGGACACACCGGTCATTGATATTGATCGCAGTGCTAAGAAAACGTCCTACAGTGATTATGGAGCCAGAAATGAGGAATGGAAGAGGCGACGGACCTCGATGGAATGAATATGAGAACGTGGGGGAAGGGTTTGTCAGGGAATTGTATGCTGAACCTCGCTTATCTCGAATCTTGCACCTACAGTGCTGCGCCATAAGTTTGGTGTCCATGACATGCTGACTCTATAAATAACTATTGTTAGTAGAGATTATAGTATTCAGAGGCATTATGTGATCTTTGTTTATATTTGTCCAGTTATCTGCTATGTTTAGTTATCATCATGTAATTTACATTTTATACATTATTTTAATATATTAATATTAAAGTATGATGATAGTTAAAACGGTAGATAAATAATATATAAAATATTGATTGAAATACAAACCAGATTTAGTAAAGTAAGAATCTTCTGAAATAATCTATTGTGAAATCTAAACTACACTGAGACTAGAATAATTTAATCAGCATGTCATGATGAAATGAAAACTTATGGCGCAGCACTGGAAGAAGAATGTTATGGTATGCTCATACAGTTACCAGTTCGGTATCCGTGTCTTCCGTATACATTTGACAAACCCCATAGTCACCTACCAATTATTGCTGATACTATGAGTTAATTATGCCATTAGGATGGAGGTGCAGGATAGATGGATTTAAGACTGGGTAAATTGACCGGACAACCCGGCCTGGTGACAGGGAGTCTTGGAGTTATATCATCAGAAAGTGATTTGGAGACTTCCAGGCGATCAATTACTTTGGGAAATATCTGGACCCAACATACGTATACTCGATATGCATTTCTGTTTCAAATAATGCAAATATCCGTCCCTTGAAATCAGAGAAAATCCAAACAATGAATAAACAAAAACCTTCCTAGACGCATACTTGAAGATTGAGATGGAAGAAGAAGGTTTAGAAAAATAAAACATAGAAATAACATAGGAAAAAATAAGAATACAAAAGATGCAGGTCGAACACACCACAACTTATCACCATAGATGACTAACTCCCCACGCCCAAACAATGTGGATTTGACAGTGATTGAGAAGCGTTGAGAGGCGTAGCGTCGATACCAACGATCAACGAAGACACTAACAATGAAAAATATGTAAAAGGTAACCGACAACTAAAAGTAGAAAGTTGGGGATATCACCGCATCACAGGAAGAAAGGCTGGGGGAAAATAAAGAGAAACTTTTCTACATGAACGGGACATGCAAGCCGGGAGCAGAGAGCCAGGGGGGTATCTGACATGAACCAGTGACTCATACAGAAGAAGAACAGGAGTAACAATACCACCAATTCCCGAAAAGGAGATGAGGTAACGACAGTCGTGAACTCATCTTATCGTGTAAAGACACCATATTAAAATCAGTAGGTAAAAGGGGGAAAAGCAATTATAAAATTGAAGAAGAGTAACGGGGGGAGAGGGGAGGGATATTACAACAAATAGTCGAATAGAAACTGGAGGTATAAGGGTAATAATATAAACACGAAATCCAACCCACAGCAAAGTGCAACCATCGAAGAAGAAAAGAAAACGGAATGAAAAACGATGGGGAAAAATTGCTGTCAAAGAAAAATCAGATATATGTCTTAGGGGAAGATATATCGCATCGAAAACCCCGTCCGCACCATTCTCATCCTCATAGTTCTTCTATACCATATCATAGATCGTTCCCATTTCCGTAAACCATACCACACTGAAAAAAACTTTCTTTTCTTTTCTTTTCCTTTCTTTGTTTTCTTCTTTTTCCTTTCGAATGCGAAATATTAGTCGCTGTCGTCTGTCCTCATTCACATAACCTTCTCCCACTCTCACCTCCAACCAACGCACGTAGTTCAGATCATCCAGTAAAAGCCCGGTTCACATCCATTTATCGACTTGGAAAAGCAAAACTCCTAAACGTTAACCTTGTCGGCGATGGCAACTTCATGCGCGCACCCAAAGATTCCTTGGCGGACGAGGACGAGAATGAAGATGTGGACAATGAAAACGCGGACACTGGGGAACGTGACCTGCTGACAATCCTCGTCGGTGAAGAAGCGGCAGAAAGCCTTTCAGCAGCCACAGCTTCAGCTGCAAGAATGTCCTCCAGTCGCACGTCGGCATCTGTGAATGTGTGTTGTTGGAGGCTATCTAGATCGAGGAGCTCTGTGAATTTTGAGACTAAGGTTGTCATTGTCGGTGTCTGTACGAGGTTGATCTGGCCCTCAAGAAACCGCGTCATATATATTTTGTATTTATTTCTGGGTAGCTTGGCATGTAGGTATGCTGATTGATAGGGGAGAATGGATGTGTCCTTATGCCACTTTGCGATGTGGGTGGTGATCTTTCGAGGTATGTTCCGCTCTGCTGAATTTTTGTTCTCTGCGCAGAGGATGGAGAACACAGGGATACTCAGACGACGATAGGCAATCGCTTTCGTTCGCTCTGGTTTTTGTGAGCTTTTCGTCTATATAACTCTAAAGCGTAGAAACTTTCATCCGATCAAGGACGGACGCGGTGTGCGACTGTGACATACAGCGGAACGGGAATATATCGCGCACGCTTGTAGGTTCTTTTGTTCGTGTTTGTTCTTTCGTCTTGGTTCAAAATAGTAAGGGTAAAGGGATAGAGAACCCCTCAAATGATGACTTCCCTTCTCCTTTTTGTTAAAACTTCGAGGAAATCAGTCATATATTAATTTGGCGGGGTAGTGAGCAAGAAGTGTCATGAACAGATAAACTACTTGCGATAGAGATGGAGGCACAAGAGATGGGGCAAACTAATACTTAGTAGTGAATGGATTATATTCCCCTTTAGAAACAATAGGATAAACTAGAAGAGTGAAAGAGTTAATTTGGGGAACAGTAAGGAATATGATAACCCCTCCTGGCGAGTTCTCGTGTCCCATAATATACGGGAAAGTAACTAGCGCCACGCTGGCAATTTTGGATATTTCCTGCACGGTGGTTGGTTCCAGAGGAAATTCCAGTTACTTCGGTGCCTCTGAAAGGGAGCCTTTGTGGCTTCTTTCTATTCCCTGCTAGCCGTTGAACACCCCCATTATGCCTTGATCTTTGTGCACTGATGGAGATGGAGGGAGGGAGGGCAGTCGGAGAGAACCTCTGCACTAATGCGCCACGGACCACAAGCCGAGTCAAAAAAAAAAAAAAAAAGGAAAAGGAAAAAGAAAAGAAAGGAGAAGAAAAGAAAAGAAAATGGAACCTAAATAGTACCAATCCCTGCCCACCCACAAGATCTGCTCATGGTTTGATTAGTTTGAATCGCTCGGAATCCTAAGATCATGAACTGAATTGAAATCCTTGACTCGGGAGGATCCCCACCAGCGAATCAACAGCCTTATCAATCCCCTGATCCAAAACATACTGTTGCCATCGTGAAGTGAGTGGACGAGCTCTATTGGTAGTTTGTCTGTAACCTGCAGGCAGTAGAGATAGTCTGTCAAGATGTGGATGCTCTATTCTACGTCTCGTGCTTCGGATAGGTCGAGACGAAGACGAGAACATATGAGAATGAGGATGATGTCAACGCGCCGAGGCTTCATTTCAATTCCAAATTCGTTGTTATTTCATCCTGTGTGAGCTCTGAGCACACAGATTAGAGAGGATCAACGCACCAATCCACAAAATCCATCCTGCCTATGTTTAGTAACCTGAAAATTTGCACGTATCCTTTCATATCACCCAGGGGCCTCGACAGGTCAACAGAAATAGAACCCTTGGTGGATAAACAAATCCCTGTCGGAAAGCGGCAGCGCAAACCTTCGAAGATTATCCTGATGCGGAGTCGATCCATAGGTGATAGATCTGATGGGATGGGTTTAGCTGGAAGCGGAGACGTGACTCAATCCATGGAACCCCTCACTTGGGAACCTCAGCTTTAGTTTTCGCTTTTCAGGTAGTTCAGAAGTTTAGTGTTCGTCAAGTGCACCTATTCCAAGTCCGTTCTTTGTGGCAGCATCAAGGTTTTATATCGATAACAAATAACAAGCCAAGTTGCGCCAGTTGGCGACTGACTTGATCATGCGCCTCGCATATAATAAAACAGGTATTAACAAGGTTAAGACGCGCATCGGAAAAAAGACAAAAAAAATTATCGATGGTACTTTAGGAATACATTCAACAATCCCTTGTTTAATCTATTCCATGACCATGGGTGTTGAGCTCGTGGTTGCGGGAGCGGGAAGAAAAAAAAAGACCGCACCTCAACCAACCTTGGAAGATTAGATCACTATAAACCTGGGCGCGGACGAACAATAGACAGACCTCGACCTAGCCCAGAGTTAAGACGCAAGAGACAACGAACATAACATACGAATATGCGGATAGAATATGCCGAACACCGGCTTCGCTCATGTGAAGGAATATGGTATCCTCACCGCCAGACTTCAAAAAAAAAAAAAAAATCTCCCACTTTCATTGCCACTTCTCTGGACTTGGAGCAATGATCCCAGAAGCAGTCGTCACGCGCAGCACCTATCAGACATTTTTTCGATACTGATACAATGTGCCCTGATTTTTCACTGCTTTCCTAGGACCAAAACTCTTTTGGTACAGTACATACAATGCGATAGGTTCGTTTACACTTTTTGTTCATCCGTTGCATTATTAAGCTGCCTATTCATTATATAACTACTGCGCCGCGAAAGACTGTAGTTTCGTAGCAACCTCCATCAAAGGCGAATCATATTCCGCCCCCCGCTCCAGTCTACCTCGGAGCTTGAAAACCAGCCCAAAGCATTGCTGTGCATGTTGGCTTATTGTTTCCTTCATTCTGTCATTTAATTTTGCGCAATATGTTAACACGCCATCTTCTTTCAAGTATGAAAGCTCGGAGGGAGTTTACACACAGAAGGCTAAATATGCCATCTACGATCTTGGAAATAAGAATATCTAATCGAATCACCCATCTATGAATATCCCGCCTGGTTCCCATCAACCAGGCATAAATCAGGCATATACTCAGGGCTTCTTTAAAAAAAAAAAAAGCTGCGACTTGCAACTCCGCACTTGCATACAGAATGTGTGAATATTGTAAACGCCATCTATAGCCTCAGCAGCAAAATATTTAGCAGCTAACAACCAAATTCAATAAACATTTATTCCCGGATCGTAAAGCTTTTGGGGACTAAACACATTGGCAAGGCGGGCAGTCAATCAGTAGACAACGTTCGTGTTGAAGCTGAAGAAGCACATTTTTGCTAGTTATTTAAAGGGAAGAACTGAGAGATCTCCTGTCTCAAATAACATCCAGGTTAAAGTCGCGGCTGTAAGTTGGACAGAACTCTAGATGGGAGAAGGAGGAGGGGGGGTGGGGGAGTGATGTTACTTTTCACCTTAGAATATGCTATAATCCCTCTATATCCCGGTCCCCGCAAAGATGTTTCCTTCCTTGCCTGCCCTTCCATGTCCCTGTTTCGTGGAAGCATTAGCAGCACTGTAATGCTATAACACAGAACCGTCATCCCCAAGTCTAACTCAACATGGGTTATAAAAACCCCAGATGCCCAACGCAAGAACAAAATGCAAGTCATGAGTTGGTTGGCTCTTCCTTTTAAAAGCCGTAAATCCCGTCCGTTTCAATCAAAGCATGAAGGGCAAGGTAGACGTGAACCCAAGCGTTTTCAGTGAAGACGTTTGAATATTCTATTCCTGCTCCTCTTTATAATTAAATAAAGTTTGTGTGCCTAGGTATTTGTCCGAAATTGCATAGCCCCCAATAATAAATATAACGCCTCGTCGCCTGAAGTTTTCCCTGATTGGTTGAAGATATTGCGTTTTTTTCGTATACATATTTCCTTTTGTAGATAATTGTACACTTTGTCTTTAATCGGCCATCTGTACATCATTCATCTTCACATCTTTCGCAGCCGATATCCAAAGGACATTATTACACCTAAACGACGATAAGACGGTCGAGAGTTAGTGCACAATATCCAATTAAAAACACATCGCTTTAAAAAGAAGAGCAGAAAAGAAAGAATGAAACCGTGGGGAAAAGTTGCAGCCCCAGAGCACCACAACAAATAAACAAATCCAAATCCAACTAAAAACAATACGATACCAAGCAATGAAAGAAAATAGATAGACTAACCGTATCAGAACTTGTCCCAAACTCCCCGTGCTCTTCCCATCGATAAATTCCTCCGTATTCGACAGCTGGATATTCATATACGAATCGACACTGATAAGTTGGCCCTTGTACTCTGTATGTCCCCATTTTAGGCGCACGACGATATCCTCACTGATTCTGTATGGAGGTGAGAGATAAAAGGAAAATTGGTTAGAAACTGGGTACGATACGAAGAATGGCACAGAGGTGAGGGAGAGGGAACTTGGGAGGGCGGAAAGTTGGTTTGGTTGGGTTGGGCTGTTTCAGGAATGGGAAAAGCAAGGACTCTAAGATGCCTACAGAGATTGCAGAAATGGCCGCGGGTTCATAGGTATGAACTGTACATGCGTACGCAATATGTGTTAGCATTGCCGTGACAGGAAGCAGTGGGGAGATGGGTGAGGGATTGCTGTGAGGTTTGCTTGGTGCTCTGGACGCACATTCATTGTGATATTATTATGTGTTATATCATCTGGCGAAATATCAAAAATATGGATGGGGGACAGAGTCGCGCGGCGGACGGCGGAGGCGGAATATACTATCGGTGCGATGATATGGATGGTGACCGTTGATGTTGACCGTTGGTTGTTTGCCATGAAATCTGCGGTTAATTTTGGGGTTAATTTTGCCAATTTGGGCGGTGTGGAAGATCAACCAATCACCCAACTTATTTCCACAGGGTTCAACAAGATTTCCTCATCCACACTTGTCTATTTAAGCCATGTCAAATCATGTAAATATAGGGAATAACATTGCATTCAGCTTTACAGCGTATATCAATTCAAGTCATATAGTATCTTCTTACCCATTGTCACCTTTAGAGAGGCTAAATTATACTGTGCAAAACCGCGATACCCTTTCACCTTTTCTCTCGACTAAACCCTCAAGCCCTGCGAATTTCCCAACTCACTTCCTTGATACTAACCTCCTCGCCCATCTTCTCGTCATAATCATACCACTCCCCGTCGGTGAGATCGATGCCTGAAAAATTCGTTGATGATTCAATCCCCTTCGCTTCCCAGTCTCCCTATCCATAGCAGACGCGGTTAACCGCTGCGGACCACGCCAAATAAGGCACGAATTTTGGATAAAGAATTCGACTTGCAAAGAGAAATGATATCAACAAGTGTAACTCACATCAGCCTTAAATTCCGTAAATTCGAGCCCTCGGCAATCGAACTCAATGACCTTTTGCCCTTTGTTTTTCGATTGTTCGTATGAGGCTGGCGCAGCTGCGATTGAAGCAGAATGTGTCCTCTTTTATTCGATCATGATATCAGTATAAAATATTTGCCAATTTTACTTCCGTGGCTGGGAATGTGACTTTCTAGAAGAAAGGAAAATCCCGACTTCATCCCAAGTAACATGAAGAATGTCTGGCTATTGTGTAGAAAGATGCCGTCATCCCTTAGCAGTAACAATGCGGGGGCATCGAGATGGGGTAGCCAACTTCGCAACTCACCGTACATAATCTGCATTTCCACACAAAATTTGCCTCACCCCGGCTTCCAGGGATCTCATGTTGCTCCTGTAGTCAAAACATAAATCAGCCATCTGAAGCAGATTGACGCATACAACGGTCGAAACAATACGAAACCCCGAGAGCTACACGCCCAGATGAAAAAATATGCGAAAAGAGAACAAGCTATCAAGATACTTACAAATCGATTAAAGCTCACCCAGTTAGGATGAATCTCCCGACACAACGTGCATTGCACCTTAAACGAGTAAAAGTATGGATTCTCTTCCGTGTCCGTAGGACGGAGATCAGTGACACTGTTTTTTCTTAAATTTTGAGTTAGTAATCCAACTTCGCATTGTGCCTATTCGTAGCATATAAACATCTTCTATAGATAAACAGTATGAAAATTGGTTCTGGGTTCGGGAAGTTGGTCTCAAAAATCAACCAATATTGGATTTGGAATAGGGATGGTGGGGTATAGAGTGGAAGATGTCAAGAAGTCTGCGAACAACTAGGCCCCGTCACAGGGAAAGAAACGAGTAGTTGAAAATATTACTTGCCCTGACAGCTCTGCAGAAAGAACAAGAGAATACATCTAATCAAATTTGGCGGAATCTCTGGGTTATTCTGGTTTAAAGGTTTGGTCGGGATTGTTGTGGTTTATGTCATTTGGCGGGGTGGAAATATCGTGTGCCTCAGGACAGGATTAGTTATCTATTATGCTTCCTGATAAACTAGTTATTTCACACAAGTTAACTATGGTTGCAATATGTTTACAGCGACCCACATTGAGGAAAGAGACTGATGATTTGCTTTAAGATAGACCATTCAGTTTATTCTACTATCTTTTCTATATTTGGTTTTGGACTTATTTTCTATAGATATATCAGGGATTGCTCAATTCCCAAGCAGCAAAGAGGTTGAGGAGGGTCTTGACATGTGACGGATGGTCTTGGCTGAGAACAAACATCTCCACTCCCCCTTATTTTATTATTCCGCATCATTCCACCTCTTCCTTTATCCATGGATCCAATCCAGTGTCATTCTTAATAGGCTCGCGGATGGCAACAGGATAGCATCTCCAAAAGCCGTACCTCTTCCCCCTCCAAACAATGCACCGGGAGGTCAATGATACCTATCCCCATGGTGTCTACCGTCTATCTTCGCCGGAGAATCATCCCCCTCGCCATCACCCTTCTCTTTGCTGTGCTTGTTCTCTATTTGCTCCCAAATCATGACTACATATATGAACAACCCAAACCAGGGTTATCATCCGATGGTCATGATCAGCAGGTAGCCGTGGTGGTTGCTGGCCTGCGCGCTTCAAATACAAAATGGTTGCGGAAGTCGTTTCCCCACTGGGACACGCATATCTATATCGCGAATGATGAGTCATCCAAGCTGCGCATCCCGAAGAACAAAGGGAGAGAGGCAATGGTCTATTTGACGTCAGTAGCAAATCAGCCTACCCGAACGACTTTTAAAAATTAAATCTCATTCAATTTATTTAAACATATTAATTTACTTATCTTCCCCCGTAGTCACATAATTGATCACTATGACGATTACCGCGACGACGCGGCTATTCTTTTCCTCCACGCGGACCAGGACCAATGGCACAACGATGACGAGAAATACGGTACGTTCATATCTAAATGGTGGAAAAAGGAATAATCTAACAAAAACATCAACCCCTCCAAGATGGCAAACGAATGCTCCAGCGCTTCAGTATCCCTCACCTGGTACGGGAAGGCTATGTAAATATGCGTTGTCACCCGTACCCTGGTTGCACGACGGGTCTAGACCTGACCACGTCCCCTGCAGGTGAAAACAGCGAGTCCGCGACAATCGCCGGCTTCCTGCAAAATTTCGCAACTCTTTTCCCAAACTCTACGCTGCCAAATCAGATTGCGGTGGGATGTTGCGCGCAGTTCGGGGTTACGGCAGGCACAATACGGCAGAACTCCAGGGAGAGATATGTGCTGTTGCGGCAGTGGCTGCTTGATACGGCGCTGAGTGATCATATTAGTGGGAGGCTGATGGAGTATATGTGGCATAGTATGATTTCCCTCCTTCCTGTTCTTTTTGTGATACTCCCTGCTGATAAGTTATATGATTCGCGTAGTCCTATTTGGGAAGCCTGCGCGACATTGTCCTGATCCGCAACAGTGTTATTGCGAAGTCTATGGGCGATGTAATCTGAAGTGCGTTAATGGGGATTGTGGAGTGTATATTTACCCTTTTGGCGCTGGTCGTTCATGGTTCAATCGGATTAAGGATTATCTTGGGATATAGATGCATAAACATTGGGGTTGTTCTTTCTCTTTTCTTTTTATTTATATTCAATTCCATGGATACCTTGGGATCATGGTGTTGAAGGACCACTGGATATTGCGCATAAAAATAGGCTATGGCCGGACCCTCCGTCCTCAGATCCGCACAAATTATTAGGGGGAAAATATATATATAATTTCCAACCCAGAGGGTTATCCCTCATGTATGGATATTGACATAGATCAAATAACTTTAAAGATATATAACAATAATGGATCATATCAGAAGTTAGATACATATATTTTTTCATTCTCTTTGTAGGAGCCAATTTATATCTAGATTCCCCGTTAAAATTATTTACTTGGTTGTAGATAGCAGCACGGCGTTAAAATTCGTCCAAGGTTTGCAAAAACTCTCAAGACTTCAAAAACATCTCCCGGCTCCCTAATTCTTATGAAACTTCAAGATTAAATAAATTAGACAAACCCTTCCATGGCCCTTCAATTCGTCTACCTCTGTACATCTTAACCTCCTCACCACCAGCAAAGGCGGTCCAAAATAGCAAATAGGATTATCCCTGCACCTGGAAGGGTAGCAAGATGTCATCGTCTACCGCAGGTCAACCGTCCCAGCCACAGTCTTCCACCAACTCGCCCACGTACTTCGAGCAGCAGCGGGAGGAACTGGTGAGGGAGATTGCGCTGGTGAGGACCTCTAAACCTTTTTTCCACATTCAACCGTTTTCAATCAGCTAGATCTTCTATATACCTTACACACCTTCTCTGTTACTGCTTCAGGTTTCCTCTACCACATGTGCGTGTCGGCGCGTCGTGGCATATCATGGATAACGCGTTTAAGCCTTCCTAAGATCATTGACGATGATGCATAAAGTACAGTACATACAAACATCAATGCTGGGTTGATTTCGACCCCCCTTTTTCTTCTGTTCAATTTCTTTCTGACTTCTGAATATTTCAAATCCCACTGAAATTATCTCTATTTGAAACTTTCCCTTCTCCCATTCCCTCTTCGCGTATTTGCAATTTATCGCTTGTCTTCTCCCATATGCGGCGGTGTCCGTTCTATTTCCATGGAACTTCTTGATATGACGACACCCCTCTCCTCGAGATACATTTGCGCAGAGAAGAAGCAGAGAACCCCCGAGTGATTTCTGAAGATGACTTTTTGTCTTCTTTGCCCCACAACTCCATCATTTGAAAAGTTCATGGATACAAACACTCTCCCTATCGACATTCAAAGCTAACAAATATCTCACTCCCAAGAGCCTCGAACAGGTCCTCCAAAACATCAACAGTTTAAACCGAAATCTAGAAAGCGTCATAACGGTAAGTTGATTCCCCGCGCAACACAGTACCCGTTCCCTTTCTTTCAACCGACTTTCTAAACAAAACCCCCTTTATCACATATGTATATTGCAACAAACAGGTCGGCAACGAATTCTCCTCCGTAGAGGCGCTATGGTCCCAATTCGAGACGGTGATGGGGAGCAGCAATGAGAATGAGAATGAACATGAAAGTGAAAATGCGCTACATGACGGTGGCGGCGACGGCGACGGGAAACATGACAACAACCATAATGACGAGCACGGAGATGAATGTGGTGAAAGGTGTCATGGGGATGAGGAGGATGGCAATAGGACATGAAATCCGCACCCGGCGGATGGGGCGGGATGATATTTAGCAGTGACAATGACTGATGAACTATGACCGGAGTTTGATAGACAGATCGAATTATTATTCCTTTTCTTTGTTGACTATGTGCCACTTCCCCCTGCTATCACTTCTCTTGACTCTCAAATCCCGTTCATACATGTTTCGGACACACGCTGTACCGAAATAGCATTCATTCCATGCCAGAGAAGTATGTGCAATACAGTAAAATAGCATAAAACAGGGGGGAAATCCAAGGTTGAACTCATTAAGTTTATAAAGACCAAAAAGTAAAGGAAAAAAAAGGGAGGAAAGTAAAGCAATACAATTTCCAATATGAAATTTTGTCATGTACATAATGTGCTGTGCATCTTGCATTGCTGCACATATCTCTCATATCGTATCTCTCTTATCTCATCTCCTCCCTTGCATTTCCTTCCTTTCATCATTTCCTTCCAGATGCTCATGGCGTGGGGAGGCAAATAATGGTGGGGCTCATCGCCTAGCAACTTCATGAACCAGAACTCTTGAAATGGTTGACGCACTAACAAACACACACAAAGAGGGCAAAAACCAAAATGGAGGAGAACAACAAAATACACAGTTAAAAGGCTCAAAAAAATTCAAGTTAAAAACATACTATGGTAAAAAGCGAGAATGGAGAATCAATAAAAATGAAACAATAAAATAGGACATTGGCCAATACAAAAAGCAAGGAAAAAAGAAATAAAAAACAAACAAATAGTGGAATATCATGCGTCGCAAACAGAAAGGTAAAGAAAGGAAAAAAAGGAAACGTCCATGAGAATGGAGGTATGTAGTAATAGGTAGGCTAATCAAATCCAAGGCAAACAATGACATTGCAACTGCAGTACTCCCAACAGTAAAGTAAGAGAGAGGTGAAGGTATTTTCGAAAACGCGGAAAAATAAATCACGCAAAAACGGGAGGAAACAAAGATTTATACCGAGACATAGGTGTAGTGCCATCATACATGTAAAGGCGTTAAAACGGTGAACCGGAAGCTTCGTATTCGTCGTTCTCATGAGTGTGTGTCGGAATTGTAGTTTGGGGAGGAGGGTGTTAGCATTGTCGTGAGCGTATGGTTGTCATCTTCAAATGAACCATTGTAAAGATGGAAAATTGGAATCATTAAAATCAAGTGCATGGAACAACGGAAATCACAATTTTATGATTCCCGCATCTTTCTCTTTTGCTTCACAGCAGCTTGCATGTCCGCTTCTTAGCTCTCTTGCGGCTTCCTCCTCCAATCCCAGTCCCACCATTTGGCCCGACACCGCGGCTATTCCAATCTTCTTCGATGCTCACAGCGGTGTTCACGGCGAGTTCGAAAACCTCGTCAACACCGCGCATCTCCTTGCTGCTGCACTCGACGTACGTGGCGCCCATTCGCTTGGCGACGGCCTGGCCCTGTTCCGGGGTAACGGGTGTTAGGCCTTGGGTTTTGAGGAGGTCGATGCAGGTGCGTTTGTTGCGAAGGTCGGATTTGAGGCCTACGAGGATTAGGGGAGTTGTGGGGCAGAAGTGAAGGACTTCGGGGTACCACTAACGTGTGATCAAGTTAGGATTTTAATTTTTATTTTACGTATCTTTAGTTGGCTGTCGGATGTTCTTACCTTGTCCATTACGTTTTCGAGAGATACAGGACAGTCAATTGCAAAACATACGAATAGGAGGTCTGTTTCCGGGTATGAGAGTGGACGAAGTCTGTCATATTCTTCCTGTCCGGCTGTATCCCAAAGAGCAAGCTCAACAGTCTTCCCTGAAGGCGCATGTATGGTTTGAGTAATGTAGTTTTCAAAAACAGTCGGAACGTATTTCTAAAGACAGCATGTTATAAGAAGAACCGTATAAGTTGCAGCATCAATATGTCAAATGATAACAAAAACATACCTCCGGAAAATAGCCCTGAGAATAGCTAATTAACAAACATGTCTTTCCGCACCCTCCATCGCCAACAACAACAAACTTTTTCGAGTACGAGGGGGGCTGAGTGATATTTGTAGCCTGGGACATTCGACTCGAGGCCATACTCATGTTTGTGCTGACGGTGCCATTGCTCACTCGAGTGCTCTGGCTTCTGGCATGTTTTCGGCGAGGGGTGAGAGGAGCGGGGACGGCCTTTTCGTCGAGGACGGAGGAATGGCGACGAGTGCGGCCGACGAACGTCTCTTCATATCCGCGGGTTGCCATGGTTGGGTTCACAGCCTTTGCGGGTTCTGAAAAGATTGGTTATATATATATATTGATTTGGGTGGGTGCGGAATTGAAGGAGGCAGGGGGCAGAGTGTTCTGGATCAGGAGGAAGAAGAGGAGGAAGAAGAGGAAGAGAAGGAAGAGGAGAGAGAGGAGGAGAGGAGAGCGAACGGAGTCAGACGAAGAGAGAAACGAGATAAAGCCGGGCAGGGAAGAAACTAGAGCTGAGTCTAATATTACTTAAGATCGAAGCATCTATGATGATTGATGCTGATGATGATGTTTGGTTGTGCCAAAGATATGCGATTGGGTTGGAAGTTGTCTCAGCCAGGGCCAATGTTTACATCCGCCCTGGCTGCCATGGCAACCCGCCAAAATATGCCGAACGACCAAGTTTGGAGACTCCCGTCTGGCCAACCCGAGCCAGCCCTTTGGACCAGGAGAAGTTAAGCCACTCCGTCTGTATCACGGAAAATCAATATAAATCCACTCTCCCTTCCTACACACCGTTAAATAGTCGATTACCCATTTCCCGCTGTGTATATGCTGTATTCCATCCATCCATGGATGTCTGGCTGTCTTCCCAATCCACGGCCCGCCCGCTGAGTTGTTACGGGTTCCACTACTACCCACCCCGCCCACCGGTCTACTCCGTATTCCCCCTCCGTCATTTTGTAACCGCGGCAGACGTGGAACAAACCTTTCCAGGAACGGGCCGCCTCAGGCCGCGACATGACTAAGCAGTCCTTGAACTTTAGTTACCTAGTGAACTAGTGAACTAACTAACTAACGAACTAACTCACTGACTCGCTGAAGGCGTCTTTCTTGGCAGAGCCCAATTGATCGACGGTGTCATTTTCTGAATACGGCGGCCCAGCTTCGACTTGGGGAGATAGTACAACAAGCCACCCTTTTCGCTCTATAGAATCCAATTCGATATATAATTCTTGTGACCTGCGCATCCACCGCTCCCAGTCCTGTCTGGATATCCAACTCCTAACTAACCGTCCTGAAACCTTGATGCATTGAACGACTCCCTTGATGTGCTAAGCCCTATGGCTTCCTTGTCACTTTTTTCTCCCGGCAATCGTCATCTCAGTTTCACACCATGACCAACGAAAAAGATCAACCCGATGCGGGATTACGGAGTCTAAATCATTGTACGACTGCATCTCCCATACTAGGATCATTTTGTGTTTTTTTATCATTTATTATATTCAGGTCCATTGGCTGGCAAAAAAGTGTTGACTTTGTAAATAGATCGTGAGAAGCTCCCAAAATGGCGATACATGCTGCGGACAGCCACCCTGCCCCTCGTACGGTGGGAGACGCCTTATCTCGCCTGGTTCCAGGAGAGAATTCGCACCCCTTCTCTCGACTCGTGGTTTGCAATCACCGCCAACCTCGGAACACATACCTTCTACATGATCATGCTGCCGGTTTTGTTCTGGTGCGGCTATACAGAAGTCGGTCGAGGGTTAGTCACCTGGCCCCCCATAACTCCCTGCCACATCCGGCGTAAAGAGTCATTGATGTTATGGAAAAGAAACGAAAAGAGACATATGATGAAAGCTGATATGAATGTAATACAATAGAATAGTCCAACTATTGGCCTCAGGCGTATTTTTCAGCGGCTTTCTCAAGGATCTGCTTTGTCTTCCCCGACCATTGTCTCCCCCTCTCACTCGCATAACCATGTCAGGCTCAGCGGCGCTTGAATACGGCTTCCCCTCCACGCATACCACTAATGCCGTCTCCGTCGTCGTTTACCTTCTTTACGTTTTACATTCTCCGGACTCCAGCATCAGTCCTCTGAAGAATATCATCTTCCAGACTATCCTATACATATTTGCGGCATCCATTGTTATAGGGAGACTGTACTGTGGCATGCATGGATTCTTTGACATTATCATGGGAGGCTTCCTTGGTGCGCTTTTGGGATACATACGAATTGTGTATGGTCCTTTGTATGACGAAGAGCTGTTTTCCGGTTCGATAAAAATCGTCTTTGCCGTGGTTGTAGTTATCCTTGCCTTGATTCGGATCCACCCGGAGCCTGCAGATTCGTGTCCGTGCTTCGACGATAGCGTCGCCTTTGCTGGAGTGATGATGGGAGCGGAGTTTGGGAACTGGCATTTTGCCCAGACCAGTTATCCTATGCCTAGCTCTTACCCGGGGACTATACCTTATGAACTGGCAAAAGTTGGTTGGATAAAGACCATTTTGCGGATTATTTTAGGGATTTTGATGGTTTTCTTGTGGAGGGAGATAATGAAACCGTCCCTTCATCGGGTTCTGCCACCTATATTCCGAGTTGTAGAACGGCTGGGCCTCAATCTTCCCAGAAGATTCTTCACCCTTGCATCGTATGTCTATTCCCTACTACCTACCTTTCAACTTCGACATATACCCACTAGTCCAACCACCAAAACAAGCAACCACAGCTAATCAAACCCAAAAAAAAAAAAAAAAAAACACCCCACAGCCAATATGAACACGTCCCCGACCATCTCAAAGACGACGACGTAATCCCCGACGTCTCCGAGATCCCCTCAATCCTCACATCCATCCGCCACCCGCGCCGTCGCGCGATCTCCATCGGCCCGCAATCCGAAGCCGACGCCTACGAAGCCCTCGCATACCGCGAGAAACGGCGACAAGAAAGTATCTCTTCTGACAAGGCGCGCAGCGTCAGCGGGCGACGGCTCTCACTGTTTCCGACGACGGTGAATCGTGATGGCTCTCCGGTGAGGAGGAGTCCGCGCAGGCTTGATGAGTATGAACATATGATGGGGACTGGTGGGACACCGTCGCCTGGGTATGCGGGGGTTGAAAATAGGAATTTGGAGAATGCGAATGCGAATGAGCCAAGGGATAATGCGGCTGAGTATCAGCAGCGGTTTGGGACAGGGGCTGAGGAGGAGGATGAGGATGAGGAGGAGATGTTTTCGAAGATCACGCCACCGCGGGTTAGATATGATGTTGAGGTTGTGACGAAATTGATTGTTTATTCTGGTAGGTACAAGTTCATTTTCTGACGGTGACGTTGATGATGGAGATTCTGTTACTGATAGCTGCTTCTAGGAATTGGATGGTTATCACTCGAGTTCACCCCTATTTTGTTCCAGGTTCTTGGATTGGCACCGTAGAAAGATCATCACGTATTTAGAGGATTTGGTTTACTTTGGACACACACACACTCTCTTTCCAGGCTACATGTATTGCCATATTGATGATGAGCATTGAGGTTCCCTTGTTTTGTTCATTCCTCTTATTTTACCCACTCGACATATTTCCGTTGTCAGTTCTTGGATGCGAAAGACGTGATTTCCTTTCTTTCTTCCCCTAATTACTTTTTAAAGTATGAATCGGATTTCAGTTAGATTGTATTGGAGTTTCCTGCTATGGCAGCAAATAGATAATACACAACCTGTTTGTTCTGTATCTGCCTTTGCTCTTAAACCCCGGTTGACCCCTTAATATTCTCACCACCTCCTCAGGATAACATTGCAGATAGAATCGAACTTTGAGGGCCTTGGACGGCCGAAAGTGGCAGGTCTTCGAGCTGTTTTCAGCCGCCCCCCTGGCACCGCGGATTCACACCCACGCTAATCAACACTAAACCAAATCTGGAAGTCCTCGATCGCCGCTTTTGGGTCTTTCTACATTCGCTCTTGGGTCATGTTCAGGTGGTGGCTCTATCCGTTCCCGCATTCGCGTTGTGCAATCATCATATATGGTTCCCAGCGAGCTATCTTCTCCTAACAATTCTACATTTCTGTTCCGGGTTTGCTTCCCATTGGCTGAGCTTTCGGACCACGATTGTGATATCATCGCAAAACATCCTCTAAACGACTCACTATACCGATTACAAGATCTACTTCAAGAGGCAGAACAAAATTATAATGACATCACTGACCCTCGGGACGAAATTTGCCAACAGGCGATATCGAAACTCCTTACCACCTTGATGGGAGAGAGATCCGCCTCACGAGCCGGCGATGAAAACCTTGTTTCCGATCTCGCCAGTTTATTCAAGCGCCTCCAACAAGGCCACCTCACCTACAACCACTGCCGAGCGTTGGCGCAGCTCGTCATCCAAAAAGACCTGGACGTCCATGTCTGGAACGCCGTCCTTGGTCTTATTGACACTGCCTCGCGAAGCACCCCCCCTCCCCCTCCTCATCCTACATCATCGATCCAACAGACGCCCTGGTTACGCAACACTAGCAGTTTCGTCAATTCTACAGAATATCGAAGGCACGTTGACAAAGTGCTGAAGGAGGAGCTTGGAGAGATACACGTCGACATTCCTGGATTCTTTGACACGTACTTTGGAGACATTCTACAACTCACTGCAGTTTCACAAGCAGTGTTGGCGGAGTGCGAGAAGGGAGACAGCCCGCTGTACTGTGAAGAGGAGGGCTGGAAGGGCTGGCCTGAACTTGCAGCAGAAAGAGATGTTCTGAAATGGCTGGCTAACATCATCACTGAGCTCATATGTGTAGTCAAAGCAAAAGAGCCGTCCTGGAAGATCGACCGCAGACCTCTCGCACAGCCAAGCCAGCCACTACAAGGGTCTGTCACAGAGAGAAAGCTTGATATCAGCTTTGTCAATGATATGACGGCCACAGAGGACTCCAGATGCCACTGGTCACAGGTCCTTGTGCCAGGGGAGCTGAAGAATGACCTGAAATATGACAGGAAATCTGGTGCATGGTTTGATCTTGGCAGGTATGCCTGAGAGGTCCTTGCTGTGCAGGACACTCATTGTTTTGTGCTTGGGTTCACTCTCTGTGGGCCATTCCTGTGACTATGGAACTTTGACCACCTGGGCGAGATCACGTCAGAGGAATTTAACATCAATCAGGACGGCCTTCAATTTGTGTCTGTTATTCTTGGATTTCTCTTGATGAGCCAGAAGCAACTTGGGTTTGATCCCACCATCGTCACAACCGGGACTGAATGTTATATTGAGATTGAGAAGAATGGCACAAAGGAATGGCTGATCATTGACAGGATTGTTGGATGAGCACACTGTGTTGCTGGGTGAGCCACAACCTGCTGGAAGGCATATTGTGAGACAGACAAATCATGGACACTGCTGATTGTTAAGGACTCCTGGCAGTATTCAGAACACACTGAGGAAGGAGATTTGCTGTGAGAGACAATGGTGAAGGGGGTCAAGAGTGTTGCAAGGTATTATCACCATGAGACTGTTCACATTGATGACAAGGATGATGATGTCTTAGCTATCTGAAAGGGCCTCAGTATTCCAATTTCACAAGATGAGAAGGGTGGCTTTAAGGTGACAGTGCGGTGTAGTAGGTCTCAAAGAGGACAAAAGAGCCAGGGCAGCACTGCTGGCCAGAAGTGATCCTCTGACTGCATGGACACAGCATTTCCTCCTCCCCCAAGTAAATGTACCCAGTCAAGTTCTCCATCCAAATCTGCTGGTCACTCTACCTCATTCAATCAAGTTCACCGCCGCGTCATTATCCAGGATTATGGGAAACCAATCTATGAGAGTAGCTCAAAGGCCACACTTCTCACTGGACTAGCTGGCTGTATTGAAGGATACATGTCACTCCATGATGAGGCTGGCCTCATCCAATGTGACATTTCCCCCTGCAACTTGATGGTGAATGAGGACAAGGACAATCCTTCATGGCCTGCCTTTCTGATCAACCTTGACCTGGCAATCAAGGTACAACGGGATGGGTCTTCTGGTGTACAGGGCAAGACTGGCACCAGGGCGTTCATGGCCATCAGTGTCTTGTATGGTGAAAAGCATTGTTTCATGCATGATCTGGAGTCATTCTTCTGGGTCCTGTTCTGGATATGTATTCACTATGATGGCTGTGGCAAGGGGAGCATTGTTGAAGAGTTTGACAAATGGAATTATATGAATACTGGAGAGCTGGCTCGCACAAGGAAAGGAGTGATAAGTGATGAGGGTGACTTTCTCAGACTTGCTGAAGACTATTTCACACCCTACTATCAATCCTTGATCCCCTGCGTCAACCAATTACGGCGCCTTGTCTTTCCAGACGGCGGACGGTGGAAGAAACCAAATTTCAATCTATCACAGAACATGATTGAAACACTTCAAGATGCACAACATAACTCAGATGCTGTAAACTAGTAAAGATTTTGTGTATTGATAGTGTGAATTGCTCTTTTGTTTTGTCTTTTAATATAGCATCTTTGACTGAGAAGAGATTGATTTCCTGGAAAGTCATACGAGGTGCGAGAGTGGAAATGCCCACTTCGTCCATGGTAAGGGGGGGAGGGGTTTCTGCATGTAGAAGATCAGCGGGAGAACACGGAACGGTAATTGAAGCTGGTGGGAAGCTGACCTGGAATTTCTCCAGGAGTCAATGAGACTCCACCATAATCCGCCATCCCGTCTAGCCCGTCACCTTGATCGGTGGGCGTCTCGCGGGCAGGCAGCATTGGCGGAGAAATCTGTCCACCTGCAGACTCGCTTGTGGGCTCGTGGCCTATCTCCGTCGAACCATCTACCACAATGGGGCCATCTGAAGTAGGGCCTAGGGCCTAGGTTAGCGGATCGAAACTCGTACCATGAATGAATCAAGAGACGGACCTCTACTTCTGAGAAATGGATGTACCTTTGCTGCCTCCAGCACTCTGGACTCGGGGCTTAGACACCACATCACCTCGTTTATAAACCAGCCCCCGCATATTTTTGCTCAGAGTTGGTATCCATCACAACGCTGTCGCTGTCGCTGTCAATGGAGGAGCCACTGCACTGTGGGGTAGAACCGGTGTTGCTCTCCTCATCAACTTCATAGTTGTGGGATCATTTATTTGTAGCTATGGACATCAATGTATCTGATGGGTCAGAATCATTGACATAGAAGAGACTACGCAGCGAATCCCAATCATTGCCGCCTGCATTGATATGCAAATATTGGTTCTGATACTGGATGTCTATTGCCTCCATGTTCGAGCTGGTTACTTGACTTTCAAGTATCTTATGTGGCTCCTTGTTGGCCGGCTTCTCATTCTTATCAGTTCACTTTCCGATCGCAGGTTGCTGGGCACTGGAAACGGGCGTCCGCTGAAATTTTGTGCCTGGTGCCGTGGCGTTTGGATTAAAATGAAGGAATGTCATGAGGGCGGCGATTTAGTTGGCTGAACGGAATAGGGAAATGGAGTAACAAAGCAGTGGATTTGGAAGGGTTGTAGGAGGCTCGAGTCGTTTTGGAATGGAAGGAAGATCCAGTTTTCCGGACCTTCAGGGTGGGGAAGAAACACGCTGAAATACCTTTCCAACCTTTGGAACTGATACCTCACCGAGGCCTCACAGCTGACTTATCCTAGATAGGAACTGCCAGCGGTGCAGGAATGTTGGCACGGACAGTTAAATTAAGAATCATTCATTCATTGAACTTCGTGTTCAAATGTAACTCCTAGAGGGCCTTGATGCAATGCCAGCGAAGTGAGATAGATAGCCCTGCTTTGCATCCCAGCTAACACGGTCCCAGCTGAAACCGTCCGTTGGCACAATACAAATATCCCACCCACAACATCAATGGTTGAGCTGGTGGCGAGCTGAAAGACGGGGGCAGGACAGTCATCTGCAGGGATTTGAAGATGGACCAAGGACAGAGATTTTGACACAGAGGGCAGAGCTACACAGCAATGTAGATATCATCATGAAGTGGGCAAAAATTTACATCAAATCAGACTACTGCTCACAATCTTTCTACTCCCCCACCACGTTGAATGAGCCTCATATCCTGCATGCCAAAAGCTGACCAGATCCCAGTAAATTAAAAAGGGAAATTGTGTGTCGCCTGTTATCTTGTGATACCAGCTGCCATATTTCACAGCGAGTGCAGGTGAATCACAGCCTCTCTCACTTCTTATTATCTAGACCATGGCATCAACCGACGGTGTTCTTGACCTGCTTGTCACGTGTTCCCTGGCACTCAAACACACTTCCCGTCGCACAAGCAGGAATCTCCAACAGTAGAACAAATCCCTCGATTCATCTAGCTGAGACATGCAGCGTAAAGTTGGGTGACTCCGACATCACATCGCAATTTCACACCATCCCCGTCTCTTCGCTTGATTCTAGCGCCAGGATATCAGGGCTGGATCCCAATCTCCGGTGGAGGCCTTCATTGTCGTTGATTTGGCATCTTACTACTGGCCAGGAGGCAACCGTAGCGTGACCAAGAAGTCACCCCATCGGCCCTGCCGCGAGGGTTGGATATGCAGAGAAATTTCTTTCCTTCACCGTGAAACGCCACCATGCCCTTGCCGCTGGAGAAGGGATGAAACCCCCGCTGGGCAGGGGCGCAAGACCGGGCCGGAGCCATCAGAGAATGCATGTCAAGGCAACAGAGAGAGAGCACAACAGGACCTCCACGGCGGAAGTGACAAACGCGCCCTGCACTAGTGCGTGGTCAGATATTGAGATTGAATGGCCGATGACAGAGGGATCGTAAAGAGAGCCAAAGACAAAGGAATGTAAAGAGCGTAGCATAGGACCTGGAGAGGAAGGGTGGGAAATTCTACAGAAGACGAATGTGGAGAGCACCGGGTGAGGAGGAGAACAAGGGAAGATTCCAGGGCCGGGACGCACGTTGACGACCCAGGTGGGTGAGCGTGGGTGAGCGTGGTTGAATGAGGGCGAGGAGGATGAAGAGGTGCGGGTTTATACAGACGGTGCGGTTTAGCTGCGGTCGGCGCCGCGGACCGCAAGCGCAAAAGGAGACGGCCGGTTTCCGCAACAGGAAAGGCCATTTCCCGCCCGGGAGGCCCTCCCAAGGCAGATAACAGATATATTGCGAGATATATATAGCAAAGGATTCCATATGAGCTTCCCTTACCCGACCATAGAATCTCGAAACCCCCCAAGTGTGTAGTTAATGGGAGCAATAGCGCACGCGACCAGTGCCCGGGTGGGTGGTCTGTGCGCCCTCCCCGGGGCGGAAGGCAAGTTATTATCGGATTCTGCTCAAAGGTTGGGATTGTGGGTTATGCTGATTTTTTCGGCCTTTGACGAGATGTCCCCGGATATCAACATAAATCCCGCCAAGCTCAGCCAAAGAGAAGTGGGGCCAACAGCGCGTTGTTCTCGTCGTTTGATTTGCGCGTCTATTTGAGTGAAATTTCTTTTTGAATTTTGAATTTTGTGAATTTTGAATTTTTAGTTGAATTGATTTGATAGTCTTGCGGACTTGAAGGGTTGTTACCCTAAGCGCTGCGCTAATCCTAAAACAACCAAGCTCCAGTGTGAGCACGTGATCGGATGCCAGCCACAGCCTTTAAGCAGCCTCAAGCGCTTCCCTGGGCAGAGTTCCAAATTCCAGGCTTTGAGAGTTACATACTGTTAGAGAGGGAAAACAAGCAAAAGCGCCTCTTCCCCCGGTTACCTTTGCAGATATTCATGGGGACACCATATCCATTCCAAGGTCGAATCGTGTGCTGGCTTCCAGGAACTTGGAAATAAGCATGCGGATTGGCGACGACCTTGGGGATAGGACGACCTTTTTTCTTTTTCTGTAACTAATCGGGGAAGCTTGGGGAGCTTGGGGAAACTCCAGCTTCAAGATCCAAGATTCGCCCGACACTCACCGCGCGTGGAGCAGGCCAAAGCCCATCCATCCCGTGCAGCAACGCGGAGTGGTTTTGTGTGGTCTGCTCGCTCCGTTCTTCTGCTTCTTGCTTCTGCTTCTCTTCATCTTCTTCAAAAAACTTCCTTGACTTTCTCCCATCGTTCGCTTTAATTTTCTTCCTTCTAACCGCCCACACCTCTTCATTGGACTGACTTAAGAAACTTCCCCCCCCGGGTCTTGTTCCGCAAGTAGCTCCTTGTAAGCAACTTCTCAAACCTCAAATCTAAGGCTCCTCTTTGTGTTAATCAAGCTTAGCTCTTCCTTTCAACCTTACCGCCACACCCTGCACAGAGTTCCGCCAAAACACAAACTAAAGCTTCCTGTACATGATTGGATCGGAGCAACGACGTCTATTAGAGCCCGCATCGACTACAGACGGACGGCGTTTCTTCTATCTTCTTCAACGGTACGGCGCCTGGAGCTCTTTGACCGCTACATCTTCCGATTCTCTCTCTCTCTTTTTTTACTCTGCCAGGAACTCTCTCTGCTGAACATCAGCGCAGATCACGTTGCATTTCCTTTGGTCTAACCAGACAGACAACGTCCGGAGTTAGAGAGAATTCTTTTACTGTAATTCGCTGCTAATGCTCTCTGTGTCTCCATCCTCTCAATCTTCTCTATCGCTTGTGTCTGTTTGGATCCCACTCCTCTATCAAAACTTAATCTATACCCCCAAACACCCGCTCTCATGTTCATTCATGTTCATTCTCTCTTCCTAATGATCTAATTGCCTCTTTGTCCTGTCACGCTTCTACCTCTCTCCTAACCCTTCTTCACTCGACTCTATCCTAATAACTAATTACTTTCGGGTTTGTTTATTTTTCTATTTGTTGCTTACTCGGGGCGTTGCTGTGGGGCTGGGGTGGTTTTGATCTTGGAGTTGTTCCCCGCGGTCACCCCGAACACCCCCACCTCTTCTTTTACACTTCCCCTATTTTCCAATATCACAACTCGAAAAAACGCAGGGTGGGAAATATACACAGAGACGGCAACGTGCTCAGCGGATCGAGTGCTTAGCAACGTCAACATCACAACAAAGTCCCGCTTTGGATGTTAACTCCTTTTCATCCCCCTTCCAACCTCTACCACGCTACACAAACCACCGCTCAAAAGCTCTATCTTCCTCCCACTTTTCTTTCTCTCTCCCTCCACTTCCACCCTTCTTCTGCTTTCCAACTGCTCTCTCCTCTCCTACTCTTATCATCCACCCCAAACCTTTCGCTGTCAACCACGTTCTCTACCCAAGCAAGCCAAAAGTTCCCCAGTGAAGAGTCAGCCCCTTTCTTTCTTTCTTTCTTTTACCAAAAAAAAAAAAAAAAAGAAAAGAAAAGAAAAAGAAAAAGAAAAAGAAAAAAAAAAAAATCGCTGGTTCCCTACAGTCTCTGCCTCAACACTCTCACCTTCCTTCCTCTTTTGGCTGGCTGAGCCCCAGGCTTTTGCCACCCGTAAACAAAAACGTCGGTCCGTTCTTCTTCATCTCTCAAGCTTGAACACTTGCAAGACTCCGGTATTTCTCCTTCATCGTCGCCATCATTCTATTTCTCTCTGGCCTCATTGACACGCCTTGTTCTTTCAAGTTATCGCTTGGTCTTTCTCGAGCTATCTGATTGGCATATCAGTTTACTCTATCATCCTTGGAATACATCTATCCGCTTACATTTGGCTACCCCCCACCCCGGGGGCGTTTATTACGAACTCAATTCTTAAGCAGCCGCCAAAATGGCGAAAATATCTGCATTACATCGAAACCTTTTGATTCGAAATATGGAGGAGCATCTCATTCCTCCCGATCCAATGGACTGGGAGCCAACCCCTTCACAAGACCCTCTTCCAGTTCCAACTTCACATCATAACACTATGCCTCATCAAAATAGCACCACTCAAACCCCTATTCACGTCTCGCAACGCGTCCAGGCCAACTCTAAGACTCCTCAGGTGAACGCAGAGACAGCACCCACCACACCACCTCTGGCCCTGCTACTCTCGCCAAACGGAAATTCACAGCCTTTGAACCTTCAGTGTTCTCCAACTCAACCTCGCCGTAAGACCCCCCCAAGCAATGCCCTTTTTAAATTGCAAAAGGCCAGATCTCCTCCTGAGGGTTTGCCACAGGGGTCACCAAATGTCAATCAGAACAATTCGGGGGGGTATCTCCCAACGCAGGACGGTATGACTGTGAAGTTTGATCGAAGAATAGGCGCTACATGGAGATGCAGCGGCATCTCATCCATCCCATTACCCCAAGTCATCCATCGAACTCTCAATTCCACTCCATGCAAGAGGAATATCGAGGCTGTTGGTGGCTACGAGCAGAGTGGTCGCGAGAATCAACGTGACCTAGAGCTAGAGACGGCTTATGGAAATGTAGGATCTAGATTCAGTCCCCCCCCCCCCCCAGCGTTGATACTGATCTTTGTTTTTGTTTACAGTCCCTACCAGAATCACCCATAGATACGTCAATGACTGACGCACCTTCTTATGAAGGCTCTTCACTTGGAAGCTCCCCGCTTGCAACGCGCTCAACTGCAGCGTCCCCTTTTGCGGGCCCTCGGCTCGTAATCGAACCAGTTGCAGACAATCCTTTTGCGGCCTCTCAGCTTGCAACTCACCCCGTTGCAGCGTCGCCAGTCGCAGCTTCACCACTCACAGTGCGCTCAAATTTACCTTCCTCTGCTGAAGCCTCTGGGGCCTCAGTTGCCCAAGTTTATGTAAGCAGCAAGATTGATGACTCGGCCTTGAAAGCTATAACCATTCTTCTAACTTGATCATTTTCATCAGGTTCCTGAGGATGCCGTACTCTATCAATCTGAAAATAAACGTACTCCTAAGCGTTTCCCTGGCACTTGGCGGCTGGCCCCAACCACTACCCGTCAGCTGGCTATACCACCAACTGAGCTATTTCACATGAGTGAAGCTGATGCCAGCATTGTTCGAGACCAAATTGCGCTAATGTCGGGTGCCCTGGTTGGGGAACCACGCACATCAGCTCCAGGGATGGTAGTTCCTCTTACCGATGGCGCCGTGATACCTCCAAATTTTCCGGAGCACGGCTATGATGATCATGTCGTTCAACAACAACAACAGGCAAGTTGTGACCCAACACAACGACTTACGAGTACATGTACACACTAACTTCCGTTCCATTAGCTCACATTCCTGCAACACGTTCTACGTCTACCCCCATGGGTGATATATGAGGTTTACTTCCCAACACTCAAAGCTATGCGTTTCGCTTTCGATACAGTTGGCAACAAAGCAAGTCGAACTTATCGAGAGTTTGTCCAGGCCGCCGTTGAGGTCCAAGGGTGCGTAAAAAGAAGGGCCGTTGAGATTTACGATGGTGTGGTGCCAGAATTTATCCGGCGAAGAATTCGACTGCGGCAACCACGGCAACAACAACAACAACAACAGAGCAGGAGTCGGCGCTGCCTATCTGAAAATGAACGCCACCGCCAAAAAGCTCGTAAGCTTGGCATGGGTATTAAGAAGACAGCCCCTCAGCATGCACAGGTCACCATTTACGAATATGAAGATTCCAACGTCTCTCCACATACCAACCTTCCGCCGTCTCAAATGATTAAGTCCTACAGACGCACTGCCAAAAAGGATGCTGTGGTGAAAGGCTCGAAGATCCAAAAGAAGCCACCTACCAGCAAAATCAAATTCCAGTCCAAGTCGACCACTGGTCCACTTCCTTATGTGCCTCTAGATCGCCGGAACAAAAATCCTGTCCCGCGTCCTCTAAGAAAGGGTGTATTCGTACCAGGAGCTTGGCCAAACGCAGTTCCGCGCAACGAAGCTGTCCTACGAGCTTTCCATGAATCTTATCGAAAATACACTTTTGCTGAAACCGGACACCTAGTTGACAAATTGTCTCCTGAGGAGGAAGCAGCGGAATTGGCTAAATGTCAAGCTATGTGTGATCGAGGTGCCCAACGGGCCAAATCTGTCAAACTTCCTTCTCCAGAGCCAGAGGAAGAGCTACCACTCCCACCGCTACCACAACTTCCAGCAGTCCCTGAAGCTTTAACCACACTTCCTCCGTTGACTCCACCTCGACGATCTCTTTTCCTAGGGACTCTAGCTACTTCCCCTGAAGCTATTACTCTTCAACCGACATATCCTGAAGCTATTTCTCAACTCACTTCTTCTCAAGCTATTCCTTCTCGTGCGGCAACTCCTCAGCCAACTCCTGATCAAACTCAAACTCAAGTGACTCAAGTTCAAGCGACTCCTCAGCAGGCTCCATCGCCACCACCTGGTGAAACAGTTGCTCAATCAGAAGCCACAGAGTTACAAGAACTTCAGGAAGAGACAAAGGAGGCCCCACCAACTCCGGATTACGAAGGATATCTGCCCAGCAATGCTCAAGAGGCCGAGGAACGCCCAAACAAAGCAGTCCAATGGCTCACGACAGATTCGCCGATGGGAAGGCCAGTCTCTTCAGTGCGAGCCTATGATCCTTTGTTCCCTATAGTTCCTTCGGCTCAAGCGATTTCAGAGGGCGCAGGTTCAGCTCTAGTGCCTAAAGACAAGGAAACCCTGGTAGACAAGTTGGTCCAGTGCAACCAGCTCTCTCCTCGATCCCTGGATGCCCCGTTCGTTAAACACCTGACAGCCGCGTGGGAAACTAAAGTTGACAGTGCGATGGCGCACTCCGATCACAGTAAGCTGGCCTCCACATCACGTGGAGAGCCTATTACTCGGAGGTCGCTTAACACTTGTTACAAGCGACGCACCTGGCTCAATGACGAAGTAATCAACGCATATCTTGCGTTGATCGTCGACCATGCACGTCGGGCTGCGGGGAATTCTGGGAGGCATGACAAGCCCAGGTACCACGCCTTCAGCACGTTTTTTTTCTCTAACCTTCGTGACAAAGGTTATGAGAGCGTGCGGCGCTGGGCAAGTCGTGCCAAGATCGGAGGGAGTGAGTTGTTGCGGGTGGAGATGATTTTCGTCCCCATCCACGACAGCGAACACTGGACCCTTATGGTTGTAAGACCGGTTGCTCGAACGATCGAGCATTTTGACTCTCTCGGTTCGCCCTCCTTGGCCCACATTGCGACGGTGAAGAAGTGGCTCCGGGGTGAGTTGGGCGAACTCTTCGTGGAAGAAGAGTGGCGGGTGCTCCCCTCCATCTCCCCGCAGCAAGATAACGGCAGCGATTGCGGGGTATTCCTCCTGACGACCGCCAAATTGGTGGCGTTGGGCATGCCCCTGAAATATGGGGCTAGGGATATTCCCGAGATCCGTAAAAGGATCGTTGCCGAGCTGATAAACGGGGGGTTCGATGGTGATTTCGACCCCAAGCTCGAGATGGATCCGGTTAAGTCGATGCTATAATGGCATTTTCTTTTACCTGGTGATCGTGTCGCTACTCCTTTATCTATCCAAAACTCGAGATGGATCCGGGTTGGGTCGATGCTGTATTGGCGTCTTCCCCTCCCTTGTGATCGCCTCGCTGCTGCGGGAAGAAATGTGGCTTGATATGGATCCGGTTGGGTCGATGCTATAATGGCAAATTCCCTTCCATGTGATCATCTCGTTGCGTCAGGAAGATAACATCCGTCAACCAGTGGAGGGTGGGTTGGTTTTTTCTTTTTTCTTTTTTCTTTTTTTTTGGACGCGTGTATAGATGCATGTTTGCTGGCCGTCGTGGTTTTTGCATCCCTCCCTTTGTGGGTTGTACGGAGTTTTCTGTATTTTGGGGTGTGTAGCGCTGCATTTGATTTTGTATAAATACCCACTGTTTTCAACGGGGCGTTAGTTTTGTTTATTTCAATTTGCATATTTGGGACCCGGGTTTTTGTATTTTTTGTATATTTTTCTTAACACAAAATAAAAAATGAAGGGGCCCCTGTGATTCTTCTATTTATTGCTTAATCTGGTTTATCGTCATGTCCCGTAGAAGTGTGTAATATTTACTGCACGTCAATGCCACATAGTTGGTGAAGGCGAGCGTTGGTTTTTCATAGTGGTTTGCCGTCTTTCCATTAGAATCGCATTCCAAAGCCCGTTCCACGTTGTCATATACATCTGAAAGTTAGATGGATAATAGCTAGGGAATGAAACGACTGTATTCAAGATGTAGGCTGTTACCTCCTAGCAAGCAACGCACAAACTACAAAACAATCTACCACCACTTCCGTCATCCTTCAATTCATTAGTTCGGTATATGCCATGTACATGTAGTACAGTACATACAACCTGCCACCCCAGTCCTACCAGCAAACGCGAACACAAGACAATGTCAACAGCGGAGAAAACAAATAACGGAAGCTAGAGCAGAAGAGGATTCCCTCTCTTCCTCCTCCTCCTCCTGCCCCCATCCCATCCCATCCCACCTATGTCGCCCGCCTACCAAACAGCCATGACAGCGAGAACCCCAAACTCAAACTAACCACAATCACGGGCACAAGACTCACCATCTCTCCAGCGCCCGCATAGCTCGGCTGGATCCTAAATCCCACAGCCTCAAACGCACCGCATGCAAACAACACCGCAAACGCATTGTACGCCACCGCCCACGCGATATTAATCTGAATCCGACGGGTTGCCGTGCGCGAGAGCTCTAGGAAGGATAGCAGCCCGTGCAGGGAGCCAGAGAGAATGCCTACGTCTGCTGCATCTGCGGCGATATCTGTTGCATTTGTCATGCAGATTCCTAGATCGGCTTGGGAGAGCGCCGGGGCGTCATTGGTGCCGTCCCCGATGAAAAGGACTTTGTTGTTCTGTGATTGCAATCGGGGACGGAGCCAGAAGCGAGATCTGGGCGGAGTGGCGAGTTCGGGCATGGAGGGTGTTTGTAAGTTGCGGATATATGCCGCTTTGCTGTCGGGCTGGCAAAGGCTGCGGACGTTATCCATATCGAAATTCAGCTCCGCAGCAACAGCAGTGACGGCAGATGGGTTGTCTCCTGAGAGGAGATGGGTGGTTATTTTCTTGCTGCGAAGCTTCTGGAGAACACCGACTGCTTCAGGGCGGATGGTACCGGCCAGCCCGTAGACGGCCAAGAGGGCACCGTTTTGTGTCACGCAGAAGGCTGTGAGGGCTTCATTGAGCAGTTGTTTGACTTTTGGATGGTTTTCCAATCCCAACCAGGATGGGCTACCCCCTTTTATTGTGCCTTTCTTGGTGGCTATTTCAACCCCCTTTCCTACTATTATCGTGGGTTCTAACTCGCCACACACGCTCGCCTGGGTGCCATTTTTAGCTATATATTGTGCGATTGCCAGAGATACGGGATGGCGATTCCCTTTTGTGAGCATCGCCGCCATCCTGCTGATTTCTTGTCGAGTTTTACCAGATTCTTCACAGAGAAGAGTTTCACGGATGACAGATAGCTCGCCGGATGTCAGGGTCCCTGTTTTATCAAAAACGACGTGGGTAATTTGGCGCCCGACTTCAAGAGTTTCTCCGGTCTTAAAAATGACCCCTTTCTTCGCCGCTACTGTGCTTGAAACAGCGAGGACCATCGGGACTGCCAGTGCCAAAGCGCACGGGCAGCTGATAGCAAGGATTGCAATCGCATGTGTAAGGGCATTGATCGATGATTCTGTATCAGCCCAGTCTCTTGCAAATCGGTTGACAAGGACCCAGACGAGAAATGAGATGCATGCCACGACAAGGATGATAGGGGTCAAGAACGAAGCAGCCAGGTCAGCTCTCTCTAGTGTTTTTGTTCTAGATGATGCGGCTGTGGAGACAAGACGCTTGACGATGCTTAGAGTATTCTCAGATACGAGTCTTGTAACTCGATAATTGATCTGGCCGTTGATAATGGTTGACCCGGCATATACATACGCCTTCGTTGTACGAACGACGGGGACATTCTCCCCGGTGATATGTGCCTCGTCAATCTCAGCGCTTCCGTTAACGATGATCCCATCAGTAACTATTTGTTCAGATGCCATTCCCTGAATGATATCTCCGTAGTGAAGGAGGCAGATATCAATAAATTCAGTTTCGCCGTCTTCTAGATTTGTCAAGGGACCGGAATGGAAACTATGCCTGGGAGATGCTCTTCTGATGACACGCGCGGATTTTGATTGCGATGTACCCAATTTGATAGCGTTTTGAGCCTTCCTTTTAACCCATGCCGCCATTAGTCTGCCTAACAGTATTAGAGTAACCAGCAATGAGCTAGTCTCAAAGATAGGATGGCCCAATGCTGTAAATTCGGTCGACTGACGAACTTCAAAAACAAACGCTACCACAGAATAGATATAAGCGCTTGTAATAGACAATACGACGAGGACATCCATATCTATTTCTTTCTGATAGATCAAAGATCGAAAAGCATATTGGTAAATGGGAATTGCAAGTAGCTGTACGACTGTTGCTAGAGCGAAGGACGAGGAAATGAATGACGTTTGTTTCGGGAAAGGAGAATATCTGGCAACTGGAGTCCACGCAAACACCAGCACCGGAATTGTAAACACAGTAGCTACCAAAGAGCGAACAATCAGCCAAAGCCAGTGTGCATTTTCAGTAGCTTCCGCAATTTCTTCAGAAGAGCTGTTTGGAACTAGTTCCGCGCATGGTTCGGATCCTCCAACATGCACAATTCCCGCTTCAAGAATATCCCTGATACCAACGGTTTGGGGGTTGTAAAAAACTTCATAGGTTGCATCACGAAGCAGGGCGACATGGCTTACTCCCTCCATCTGCTGAATAACATCCCGTCCCTTCGAGCTGAGATTCTTGATATGTACTCGCTCCCCAACGACAGCATCCCCTGCAAGCCCGGTTCGAAGGATCGTGCATGTAAAACCGGTAACCTTCTTAACTCTAGATATAATTTCTGCTGGGTCACTGACTCTTGAAGGGTCGTATATCATATCCGCACGGTTCAGGATAAAGCTGGTTCGCACTTCACTTATACCGGGGTATGAGTTCAAGGTATTCCGCAGCTTCGATTCGCACCCGACACAGGTCATCCCAACCACGCCAAGCGAGAGAGCGTGGAGATGGTCGACATTTCCCTTCTCAACATCGGTTTGCGGAGATCGTTGAGGTGGAGCCGGAATCGTATCGATTTCATCCGTGGACAACAACTTGGAGCAGGGAGAGGTAGAATCGCGGAAGGGCTCTGCGAGACTTTGCTTGCGTTCGCGACGAACCATGCAGCAGCTTTTATCGCCAGGGAATGGGAAGCGACGAGGGCCTCTGCAGAAACATCGTCGGATAATGTTGCTGATGTTGGAGACGTAGGAGGCTTCAGCAGCTCTGATAGACGCAGCAACGGTAGAGGATATATTACCCAGTCCTGCCCCGGGGGCAATACCTGAAGCGTATTCTGCGGCCATATTTAAATGTTTGGTGCATGTCATTGCCGTCAGTTTCTGGAGAATATGACCAGGACGCCGAGGTGGAAGCTCGAAGCTTCTGCGAGGGGCTGACCCTGGTGAAACCGGTACCATTTTGGGCTCATCTGAAGACTTCTTGCCGGTGCAGCATTCATCTTCCTTTGGAAAGAAGGCCTGATCCCCTCTATGCTCGCTGTTCACAGAGCACAGATATGAGGCGTACTCTAAGAGACATTCCTCTGAATGTCAATTGCGTTATATTAGCATGTATACGTATATATAAAAACGACCAAAAGGCAATAGTTTTATATATACCTGAGCACTCGCAGTCAACGTCTGTTGTACAGCATGTATCCTCTCCAACAAAAGGCAGGGGATGTTGTTCGATCACGTCTGTATCTTCTGTAACAATAGGTCCTGAGCAGCACAAGTCCAACCCAGTGTTGTCTGCAGATATCAAGGAAAGCGGACCGGGGGAAAACAGATCTTTGGGTTTGCTACATGCTCCGTCTTTGCTGCAGCAAGATTGTTCTTTTTCTTTCCCCTTATCCCAGTTGCTGTTCGCCTGCTTCTCCTTACAGCCGCTGTCAACCATGTTTTGGTCCATGTCTCTTCCTCTACTACCGATATTAGTGCCCGTGCTTTCTCCATGGCTTCCGCATCCGTCATGAGGGCTTTCTAACCTGTTGCATTCCTGTTGGGTTGGACATTGTCCGTCTGCTATCATTGCTGCTGGTGTCGCTACAGCCTCTCTATCCTTGGATTTTTGATTGCAACAGGATTGTAGTGCATCCGTCGCTTTGGTTTTTAGATTGCAACATGACCGCTGAGCCTCAGATCGCTTGGTTTCCCGATTGCAACAGGGGTCTCCGGCATCAGGCTGCCCAGGAGGAGAAGACAGCGAGCAACAACCATCCGCTCGCAAGCTTTCCAAGGAACCTTCATCTCTCAGACCCCCACGACAACGCCCTTTCTGATTGGTAGCAGACATGGCGGTAACTGAAGCGGTACCTACAACTCGCCCAGACAATCAAACAATCAGGCAATCAGACAATCGTGTAGAGCGGTTTTAGCAAATTCGGTGGGTTTCAAGACTAGGATCTCTGCCGTTAGACCGGGGGGGGGGGGGGGGGGGGGGGGTTCGACTTTAACCATGTTTATATAAAAGCTCCAAGTTGAACCTCTAGTCGAAACCAGCAAATACTTGGGGCTGTACCTATATATAACCAAGTCGTAGAAAAATAAAGTTACACGTTCGGCCAACTTACGGCCGACAACTGCCTAGAGACGGTAAAACGGGATGATATAACAGAGCCAGCATGCGGGTACGGAGTTGCGGGTGATTGTTTGTGGTTTAGTTAGCTTTTCTTTTTGTAACAACCTTTTGAGAGAGCCAAGGAAATTAATAGCATAGCATCTGTAGGATTCACCGACAATCTTGGAGCTGCAGCTGTTTTGCAGTTTTCACTTTCCGCTGCAGCTACTCCGGCCGGGTGTGGATTTTATCAAGGACTCTAGAAAATCCTCCTCTCCGGTTGGATACCCGAAATTGAGACAGACTTGGGTTCGCTTTCATGGTATATTTAGTAAGATGGATTGAATAGAAACAACATGTCAACTTTGCAGATGCATTGGGTAACTAGTTAAAAGAGTGACTTACATCAGGACGGCTAATGGTCACTCAACACTTCAAGCAATAAAATTTGCAGTACTGCTTACAAATTCAAATATTTCAATCACAAAATTAAATTGAATTGAATTAGGGATATAAATAAGAGTATTTCTCAATTACATATTAAATAACTAAGTGATTTAATGAAATAGATATGTGAATGATAGAAAACTCAATATGAGATTAGAAAATTATTTAAAAAAATTATTAAATTTAAAGTTTATAGTTGAAATAAAATATGAATAATTTAAAAAATTAAAATTAATCTTATTATTAAAATTTAAAAATTATATAAAAATAAATAATATAAAAATTTATTTTTATTATTATTTTAATATAAATATATTTTTATTTAATTTTTATTTTTTAAAAATAATAGTAATATAAAATATTAATTTATTTTTTTTAATTTTATTTTATATTTTTTTCTTTAATTTTATAAATAATAATTTAAATAGAGTATTACTTATATATATTTATATTATAATTATTAATATATTTAATATATAATTTTTTTAAAATTATTAATCTAAAGTTTTTTAAAATTTTATTAAATATAAATAATATTAAAAATTATATTTAATTAGTATATTTAAAATTAAATAAATTTAAATATTTTTTATATTATTAATATTTATTATTATATTATTTATTAATTTATTATAATATATAAAATTTTTATTATTAAATATAAATTTTATATTATTATAATATATAATATAAATAATTATAAAAATAATAATTTTTTCAAAAATTAATTTAATAAAAAAATAATTATTATTTTAATAAATTTTAACTTATTAATAAATAAATTATTAATTTTATAAATATATATATTTATTAAAAATTATAATTAGTATATAAAATATAAAAATAAAATTATAAAAAAAATTTAATTTTTATTTATATATTTAATAAATATATTTATATATAAAAAATAATTATTTAGAATAAAAAAAATTTATAATTAATTTTAATTTTAAAATAATTAATAGTTAAATATTTATTTAAATTAATTAAAATTATAATAATTATTATTTTTATTTTTTATAAATATTATTAAATAATTTAAATTTTTTTAATTAAATTTTTTAATAAATTAATATAAATATAAAAATTAATTATATATATTTTTTAATAAATAATAAAATAAATTTATAGATATTATTTTATATTATAATAAATTTTTTTATTTTAAACTATTAAACTAATATAATTTATTATATTATTTAATTAATATTAATTAATTTATCAAAATTATAAATATTTAATAATTTAATATTACATTTTTAATTTTTTATTTAACTAAATTATAAAATTTTAAAATTAATAATAAAAATTATAAATATAATTAAATAATAAAATCAATAAAATAATAAAATTAAAATTTAAAAATAAAAATTAAAGCAATTAAAATAATTTATAATTTTATATTTTTAATTAATTATATTAAAATATATAAAAATTTAATTTAATTTTAATAATATTTTATAAAATAATTTATTTATTTATTTTTTATAGATTTTTTAATAATCTATTTTAATAAATTTTAAATAATTTAAAATATATAAATAAAGCTATAAGTTATAAATTTCTTTACAAAAATTAAAAGCTATTTTTTATAAGAGGTTGAACCTCTAGATTTGCTCTGGCTGGCTGACTCAGCCTAGCCATCATTTGCACATGCGCACGTGATCATGCTACGTGAGCTTGCTTAAGCTTGAGTTCTCATCTCATTCTTTTCTTCCCTTTCTCAAGCAATTCATCCTTGTTATATAGGAGGACTAGCCTCTAGTTCTTAGAGCTTAATCCTTTACATTATGAATTGCTTCACTCCTTTCATTGATAGGCCACTGGGAGCTGTTAGGCTCAGCGCCCGACCGAGCCCGACCGAGGCTCGGTGCCCGGTTAGACTCGACGTCGGATTAAGCTCGGCGCCCGGTTAGGCCAAATATCCTCACGTGATCAAATGACCATGCAGGTGGTTATAACCCAGGCAGGCCTCAGCACCTCTTTCATCCCATCAAGCTTAGTATTTCATTATATAGCAGTTAGCAACACAGAGAGTTTCCTTCTTATACAGCTCACATTCACTCTCTAACATAATACTAAGCTTCATCCTACTCCTTCTACTCAGGATTGAGTAGAATCTGCTCAGTGAGAATCTGACAGCACAACATACAACAGCAACTCATCCCCCTTACTACTCACCAGAGAGACCCAGACCAGGATGGCCATCCCAGACTTCCAGCCCTCTGAAAAGATCAAGAGGGACTGGCAATATGTTCTAACTAGATCAATCAATCAATCACAGATCTCACTTGAAAAATTCAGACAGGCAATTCACTCAGACAAGAATCATGTCTACAAAGAGTTAGCAGCAATCTTTGACAGCATCTTTGATGATGAAAAAATGTTGAGAGATACAATCACACATCTGAGGATGGAATGGAACAATGCCACTGACCAGGCCACTGTCAAGCAAAGTCAGATTGATAAGCTAATTACTGAATGTGATGAACTTAGTCATACTCTGATCTGCATGACAGTCAGCAATCAAGCAGCAAGTTGAGATGTCATCCCCTCTGAGACTACTCAGAGGTCTGTTAAGATTGATGACTCAAAACATCTCACTGATAGCAAGAAGTCAAAATTTGAACATTGACTCTTCTGGATGAAGAACAAGCTCTGGGAGAACACTGACCACTACCCTACTGAATGCATGAGAATTACATACATTGAAAACTGGACTGATGGAGATGCAGCACATCACATTGCACTCTATATGAAAGAGGACCACTCCAAGCAATATCAGACTGCAGAAGAGATATTTGAGCATCTCAAATCAATATATGAGAATGCTAACAAGCTGCAAAATGTCAAGAGTGATTATTGCAAGCTAATTATGTGCAATGAGAACAATTATCATGAATTTGTCACAAAATTCTTACACCTGGCAGATGAGGTCAAGATTGTCAAAGAGGACTACAAGACAGACTTCAATGACAAGCTGTCCTTTGATCTTCAGAGGACAGTGACAGTAGTCAATGCAATCATCAATACATATGCTAAGTTTCAGAAGATCTGTGCTCAGACAGTTCACATTCTTCAGACAATCAATGTCATTTAGAAGTCAAAGAGCTTGCAGAGAAATGAATCTAATATCTTCAAGCAAAACACTCTGTGAGCCTCTGACAGTCAAACTTTTCACAGCATCTTAGTCACAAAATCCTCTATCATAAAGAAAGCCTTGAGCACTCATTCAGATATTCAGTGCTACTACTGCAAGGAGAAAGGTCACATTGTCAGAAACTGCTCTGTGAAGCAGAAGTCTCAACAGGTGATCACTGAGCTCACAGAGAATGACACTTCTGAGTCTTCAGCAGATTTGAGAAAAGAGTGAGTCTGAGAGAAGACTTCATTTCAGATAGTTCAATAGTCTGTGAGAGATTTAAGATGAAGGACTTGATTGAGAGAAAGAGCTTTAATGTCTCAATTAAGTTAGCTCACAATGGAATTGCTACTTCTACAAATTCTCTCACTGATACTGAAGCAAATGATGTGAATTTTATTGATATCTGATACACTATAGAATTGGCAAGATTCTTCAATAGAAAGTTTCAGGAACTCTTATTCAAATGCTGCATGAAGAGATACAATGACACCTCTAGTGGGGTGATAGACTGCACATTGACTCTAAACCTCTGGGTGGATGGTCAGAGATTCTGAAATGTTCCTCTGCTGGTGACTGACCTAGGCCAGTACCCTGTTATCCTGGGATAAAAGTGGTTGACAGCACAGGATATATGGCTGAATGTTAAAAATCAACATCTGGTTTGACTGAGTGAACAGTCTATCCTGGAACAGATGATGAAGTCAATGCTGAAGATAGTGTTCTGATCAATGCTGAAGCATTCAGACTCTAAGTCTGAGTATCAGACAGATGCAAAATGAAGAGAGATCAAACTGGACAAGGAGATCAGACAGGAGCATCAGGCTCAGCTCTGCAGATTGAAAGGGACCAGCTCAGTCATGACATCTAAGACAAGGCAGGGACTGACCTGGGAGGAGACAGCACCACAGATAATGAATATGAACTTCATTGAGACTGCTTTTTTCCATGATTATATGAAGAACAAGAACTCAACAGTCTTCATAATCAGTCTGTATGAAATTGATAAACAGCTCAAGGAGAAGCAGAGTTTAGTGAGAGCTAAGAAGAAGTCTGATGAGAAGCTGATCAGCAACTTACCAGAATGATTGAAAGACTGAGAGGATTGTTTCTCAAAGAAAGCATCAGATGAATTACCTCCTCTACA